TTGTAATAAAGCCTGTTTTTATATATATTTATATATATATATATATATATATATATATATATAAAAAGCAAAAAGGAAAGAGATGCACTCTCAGGTCTTTGTAGAAAAAAACCTCGATATTATTTAATAACAGGTAACATACATCTGATCGACGTTTCGACCTCTTCAGGTCTTCCTCAAGATATATATATATATTCCCATAGGTGCTTCTCGATCTTGCCCCCTGTTACTCATTTTGCTATTTGTTAGCTCCCTTAGGACATATTAGTAGACTGGTATCTATACACAATCACATGAGTATCTATCTTTACTTTTTTGTTTGCTACATTCTCATGTTTAAGATTTATTTGTAATATCTATTTGAAACTGTTATTTCCAGGCAGTACACGATTTTCACTTCGGTGAATTGTGTGATTTTTTTTTTTGTACTTTATACTGTATATCTAGGGTTATGCCCTGAGAGACCTCTGGAGTTTCTCATTGTTGCACAGGCTTGTTGGGTTAGAGAAACACAAATAGTTATACTGTGTTTTTTCGTTCCTTCCTAACCGACCCTATTTTTTGCTATTTGTTTTGTTTTTTTGTCATCATTAAGAAGATACTCACTTTTGAGTTAAATATGCAGAATTTAATTATCTAACTTGAACTCTTTCCACATTTGGATGAAACTTGGTCAGTCTCTTTGTGGTCTATGAAGCCTGGCCTGCATTTAAACAAGAACTCCTATTCTGGGGTTAGGTCAATGGGGGTGGGGTTGGGGGGGAGGACAGTAGGTCCCCCCCAAATTATTATTTATGGCCCCCACCCACCGCTCAAGGGTGGGGGCCAGGGGGGAGGACAGTAGCTCCCCCCCTTATTGTTATTTAGGGCCCCCACCCGCCGCTCAAGGGTGTGGGCCCGGGGGAGGACAGTAGGTCCCCACCCAAATGTTTATTTAGGGCCCCCACCCTTCGCACAGTGGCTGTGGCTGCTCACTGTTTACTAGACACACCCCTACTCGCAGTATAGCTACCAATTTAGGTGACCAATTTAGGTCTTTCAGCCTTTTAGGTAGATAGCTCCCTAATACCGTGTGAATTAGGGAGTTATCTACTAAGCGGCTGCTTATTTTATGTTATCTTTAAGTTATTTCCCTATCCACATTTGTTTGCAGGGCACTTGTCCTACTCTTACCCCCATTTTACTTCCTTTTCCAGCCCTTTAGCCCTTTCCAGGAGTTTTTTAGAGGCATTTTTGTGGCCAAAAGTTTGGGTCCCCATTGACTTCAATAGGGTTCGGGGTCAAGTTCGAGCCCAAACCCGGACTTTTTTTCAAAGTTTGTCCGGACCCGAACATCCAGGTGTCCGCTCAACTCTACATGTAAATAATAACTAATTATGTAGGTGAAAAGATACAAAATGCATAAAAGTTGTGCTGATACCTGCAGTTTCCCTTTGAACAATGCTGCTATGTTTGTCCTATGCAATATTTTGTTTACTTTTACATAATCACATTATTGTCCAAAACAATAAATTACTATTTTTTGTATTTGCACATAATTAAAAGTTCAGTTTTCACCAAGGACCACCCGACAGAGAATAATTAAAACAGTTTTTACATATCGACATATTGCCTATTTACATATTGACTGTTAATTAGTGCTGACTTCCTGTTGTATTGTGTGCATTTGTAATAAAGCCTGTTTTTATATATATATTTTTTTTTCCATAGATGCTTCTTGATCTTGCCCCCCGTTACTCATTTTGCTATTTGTTAGCTCCATTAGGACGTAGGAGTAGGCTGGTATATATACACAATGACATGAGGATCTATCTCTGTTACGTTTTTGTTTGCTACATTCTCATGTTTAAGATTTATTTGTAATATCTATTTGGAACTGTTATTTCCAGGCAGCACACAATTTTCACTTTGATGAATAGTGTGCTTTTTTGTTCTTTATCCTGTATATCTAGGGTTATGCCCTGAGAGACCCCTGGAGTTTCTCATTGGTGCACAGGCTTGTTGGGGAAAGAGAAACACAAGTAGTTAAACTATGTTTTTCTTTCCCTCCTAACCGACCCTGTTTTTTGCTATTTGTTTTGTTTTTTGTCATCATAAAGAAGGTACTCACTTTGAATTAAATATGCAGAATGTAATTATCTGTCTTGAACTCTTTCCACATTTGGAGGAAACTTGGTCAATCTCTTTGTGGTCCATGAAGCCTGACCTGCATTTAAACAAGAACTCCTGTTCTGGGGTTAGGTCAATGCAGAGAGCTCCTCGCTAATTTGGACAAGGTGGTCTGACAAACCCCAGGTACATTGCCAAACTGTTGGCAACTAGTTTTGGTTTTATTACTGTTATTATTGCATTGCCAGGACACATCTAACGCCATAACTGCTACAGCACACAGTAGTGGCTATGGTGCTTGGAGTGTGTCTTTAAGTTAAATTCAGTTAATAAGCTAAATTATTTAATTTATAACTAATTATGTAGGTGGAAAGATACAAAATGCATTAAAGTTGTGCTGATACTTGCAGTTTCCCTTTTATAAAATGCTGCTATGCTTGTTCTATGCAATATTTATTTAACTTTTGCATAATCACATTATTGTCCAAAACAATAAATTACTATTTTTTGTATTTGCACATAATTAAAAGTTCAGTTTTCACCAAGGACAACACCCGACAGAGAATAATTAAAACATTTTTAATGATTTGTTATGAGTAATGTATTTCTTGCTAAGATCAACCACTGAAGGAGATATATAATAAAATATGGCCTTTAGAGGTTCATTCCCAGAAGTTAACATAGGCAATATTAACTCTGTTTATAACTCATCACTAAGAAATGCATTTACATGGCGAGGGTACAATACATCTGTGTTTGTATACCTTTTTGTTAAAGCAATTTGTCTTTAAGATATATATATACATATTTTTTATGAATAAAATACAAACAAGTTGATATAACGAAGAACATCACAATGGAAAAGAATACAGTTTCTGTATTTATGGGCTTGATCTAACTCTACCACTGAAAATTTTACAACAAACACCACTAACAATATGTTTAAATGTAATTTTCTCTAAAAAAAAAAAAATGCATTGAATGCATGTTTGTTACTTATACAATATTTCTTTCAGTGCTAAATGCAGATATGAATGTTCATAATCTGTCTCAGAATCTTCACCTTATTGAACTTAACAACAAATACACTGTAAGTAGCTGCTCACACTGCTTAGAATATATGTTGTTTTAAACTATCAGTCTAGGAACCATAACCACTACATCCCAGTCTAAGTTATGATGAGATTAAAGCATGGGAGCAGCCTCTGGTACTTCGATGAAACTGTTTTGAAGTTTGAGCCTTGACTGATCCTTTAAACTGCTTTAGTTAATTGCTCAACAATTATTTGGATTTTTACAAAATAACTACATAGCTTAAATATTCAATGTGTCATTAATGCAAAAATATATATATTTGCGCAAATGTTGTTGTTGGTTTGAAGTCAAAGGAAGAATAAACACGCTATCAAATATAGTATTTGTTATTGAATGTTTGGAAATATTTTATTACACAGAGCATTTAATATGTGTATATTTTTTCATAGATACTTTTCAACATCCTACATCTAATTAGTTCTGTATATAGAAGGTTGTATATGTAAATTCAGTCATGGAATATCTGTATAGGTTCAACACTATCTTTTCTCAGTTGCTTTATGGATGTATTTTAACTGATTTTTTCAATGAAATTTAAACATATGTAGCTGGAATGTTTTTGAATCCGATATATACGGTAATGTATTGCCTTTATAATGTTTTTATATTGTTAAATAAATACTTGGATAATTGGACTTTGTAATATTGAATAGATCACATTTTTTTTTAAATCTATTAATCCTATGTAGGGATGAATATCCAGTGTTTTTGTGGATTTGTAATCCTGGCTGTCATTATTCTTGATTGAGATAAATGTTTCCTTTCAACTCTGCTATATTTTCACTGTATTTAATATGTTTATTCTCAACACACCACAGCTCACTGTTCACAAAAAAAACAAAAAAACAAAACAAAACTAAGATACAAATACCAATATTTTGCTGTGGTATACAAGGACTAGGCTGTTTTGTATATGGAAATATGAATGCATTGTAATAATTAGTCAAAGCTGGTGTCTGAGTTCCGACATCACTGTGTTATGTATATTTATATGGAATGCAACACCCAAACTCATAATTTTTACAGCTATCTGTTCACTAAAAGCAAACATTCAATTGTATCACACCTTGAATATGCTGTGCAATTTTGGGCACCTGTTCTGAAAAATTATATCATGGCACTAGAAAAGGTGCAGAGACGAGCTACAAAATTGATAAAAGGAATGGAGCATTTTAGTTACGAAGAAAGGTTAAAAAATTTAGATCTCTTTAGTTTGGGAAAATTGGCGACTCAGAGGGAATATGATAACATCATACAAATATATTTGGGGCCAGTACAAACCATTGTCTGGAAATCTATTCATAAACATGGCTATACATAGGACACGAGGTCAAACATTTAGTCTGGAAGAAAGGAGATTTCATCTGAAGCAAAGAAAAGTTTTTTACAATAAGAGCAATAAGGATATGGAATTCTCTGCCTGAAGAGGTGGTTTTATCAGAGTCCATACAGATGTTTAAACTGCAATTGGATAAAATACTTGCAAAAACATAACATACAGGGATATCATTTCTAATTAGTGGGGTAATAGCTGCTTGATCCAAGGAGACATCTGACTGTTATTTTGGGGTCAAGAAATAATTTTGTCCTAGTTTATTGCAAAATTGGAAGCGCTTCAGACTGGGCTTTTTGCCTTCTTTTGGATCAACAGCAAAAACATATGTGAGGAAGGCTGAACTTAATGGACACAAGTCTCTTTTCAGCTTTGTAACGATGTATAACTAGATTATGAAAGCTATACCATCTGGATATTAGATTGGTCCAAGTGTGAAGGGTACAACATACAAAGAGATTACCTTTTGGATTATTCAAACATTGTGGCAATGTAAAAGTATGAATTAAACCCATCTGATTACACCTGCTGGTAGTTAATTTTATTACATGACAGGAGGCTTCCTATTTTGCATAAACTTTCTTTACTTTATGCCTCCAGCAGCACAAGTCAATCAATCAGAAAAGAAAAAGGTTTAACCAATCAGAGTCCAGCACCTCTTGTATATAAGTCCCTGACAGGCTTCCCATTCCCTCTTTCTTTGCTGCTTCCAGCCAGGACACAGGTCAGAGTGATTTTACCTATAACTCTTGCAGTTTATGTATTGCTTTCAAATTTTTGTTTATATTAGTATTTTCTCTTGTCTAGTAGAGGTCTTTATTGCTGTTTTAAGGGTTAATTCCCCTTTCCTTGTGCCTCACCCCTGCCACTTCTCCCCCCCCCCTCCTCATTTCTGCCCTTTCTCTTCTCTCGCGGTTTTACCGCGACCGCGGCTTTAAATTGCCGTGGTCGCGGCTGATTAGCGCGGCCGGCTTCTCCGGCGATTCGGGCAGCCCAGGGCGGGCGGGTGGGGGAGCCGGGGTCCGTTGGCACTTGCGGCCCGCGATCTACGCGATCACGGGCCGCGCTTAGTTTTGGCGCGAATGGCCATCTTGGATCTCGCTACTCGCGAGATCCAAGTCGGCCATCTTAGGTGGGGAAACCGTGATTCACACGGTCCCCCTTTGTCATCCCCAATCCTATCACCCTCTGTCTGCCAGGTCCCTCTATAGAGGCAGGGGACTTGGGAGAGAGAGGGTGCTTTAGTTGTTTTCTGCTTACCCTTCTTGCTCTGTGGTGTGTGTGATTCTGCTTCACTGTGAATCTATATATATACACATTACTGTCTCCCCCTACCTGCCATTTTGGGGTACTACACCAGTTCCACTGTGTCATAAAATAAACTGTTCTACAACCAAACAAGCTTATAACAAACAAACAACAACTTACGAAAAAAAAAAAAAAAAGCTCTTCCAGAGGTGACCCCTCTGAGTGGGGTGACCCCCCACTGGCACACTATTATTGTTATCAAGGGGTGACCCCCCTGCGCTGGGTGACCCCCAGGCGTGTGCCGTACTATCCGAAGAGCGGGGTGACCCCCCTACTATTTACGCTGATACGTATGGTCGGCACCCTCCATACTACGACTGGGGTGTCCTGCTCATTCTTTTTCCACAGGGGAGAAAATCTATCCTACTGCTTCCCCACTGGGCTTTGAAATTAAGGGCACGACCCGTACAATATCTAGGCACTACGACCTAGCCGAGGTTTCTCTATCTCAGACCGCTCATTCCGGTCAGCCGGAGGGTGATCCCCTCGCTAGCCCAGGATTACAGGCAGTGTTAATACCTTGAGACAGGTTATTTGATCTGGGCCCATTGGCCACACTAGACGACCCCCAGTCGTAGGAGGAACGCCGTACCTCTTTATTACTGCCTTGTACTATTCACGTACTTCGGTACCTGACTCTATCCTGTCTTTACAGACAGTGACTGCAACCATGAACATGGGTGAGCCTTCACAGCAAACTCCACCCGATTTCCAAGCACTAATTAATTCAGCGGTGGCGGCCTCAATGGAAAAGGCCATAGCGAAACTATTGGTCCAAACCCCACATGGGGACCCGGATGCCAAAGGCCATGAGAAGTCTTCAGGGGATAGTGCCCCTCCTAAGAGACATTGGAAGGGCAATGGCCCAGCCCCACGGACGGCAAAGGGCAAGGCCCCACTCAAGAAGAGCCGCCAATCAGACCGCCTAGGTCCGTCAACCTCTCCGCTGACATCCTCCGATGACGAGGGAGGTAACTCACCAACCCCGCTGGAAGTTATGGACGTGTGGAGAGCGGGTGACTCCCCATCGGAGGAGGAGGACTGGCTCGACATACCCCGCGGCCACACGGGTTCGGAGCTGGTCGAGGAGCAGGACACCCGTCATGGGCACTGGAAGGCCGACACACAGACGGACGACCTGGAGGACGGCACCTTCATGGACCCCCAAGGCACTCCGATGTTTGATCCACGTGCGATACGTCACCCGAGATCATTGGAATGGGGCCTACCGGACCATTTAGCCCAATTTATTCATTTTTGGCTACGACAACCTATGGACAAAGAGGTCCGGGTGAGACTGAAGGCCGAGTGTCCGAGGCCTAGTCTACCGGACAAGATTGCCCACACGCCTGAATTCGACACCACGGTAGTCGTATTCATGTCACGGACGGGACGTGACCCGCGTAAGGGCATTGAGAATGGCCTCAAAGCTTCGCAAGATAAGTTACTAGATATGCTTGGCCCACTCGCTAAGATCCTGTACCTCGCAGACGGAGCGCTTACGCAAGGGAGTGCCTTGGACGCCCACGATGTGAGAGAATGGGCGCAACGCGCAATCTGCTTATTGGGCAACACCAACGCCGCACTCTGTGCGGAGAGGCGTAAAGCCGCGCTTCTCAAGATGGACTCCAAGCTCCTGGAACTCGGCAAGAAAGAATTGGGGCCACGGGCCAATGGCCAACTATTCGGAGAAGCCTTCATTGGAGAGCTAAAGAAACATGTGAACTTATTTACGACACTGAGCAAGGCCCAGACTTACATTAAACAAGTTTTTCGCAACCCTACTCCGACCAGAGGGGTTTTCGGCAGGGCTGGTCGCCATCGGGGCCGAGCCACCAGCCGTTTCTGGCCAACAGGCCCCAGGAATCAAGCTTCTCAGTCGTTCTTCCCATCGAGACCACCCTTCTCGAGAGGAACCTTCCGACCCAGAGGAGCTCGTACCCGCGGACGCGGGCGCTTCAATACAGGTGAGCACCCCTCAAGTACCATTGTGCCTCTCTCCTGTTACTGCTGGCAGACTGGCTCTTTTTTCACAGAACTGGGAAAAGATATCCTCCGATGCCTGGATCCTTCAAACGATCAGGGGCTACGAGATCGATTTCGTGCACGCTTGCTCGCACTATCTCACGACCACCCGCTGGTCTTACCGACGTTCCCCACGCTTCTTACGAATCCGGATGCGGAACCTCATCCTCTCATACTTCAAGAACGTCTATAGTTGGTAGCCTGGACGCTTTCAGGGGATCTTGGGCAATCCCAGGCTTATTGCAAACGGCTAAGGACCTCCTTTGGGACTCTTGGGCACCAGGGACTAGACGTAACTACATGGCAGCATGGAATGTATGGGACCGCTGGTGTTTGGGAAGGAGCCTCGATCCCTTTACAGCACCTGTATCAGCCATACTGAATTTCCTTTCCACTTTGTTTTCCAACGGGAAATCATACCGATCCATTAACGTTACACGATCCGCTATATCGGCGGCTCATGTTCCAGTTAACGGGAATCCAGTGGGTCAGGAAGCCTTAATATGTCGACTATTACGAGGCATCAAATTGGCTAGACCACCGACACCAAGGTATCGCCAACTATGGGATGTGGATGTGGTCATTCGTTTCATTCAGAACTGGCTGGATAACTCTGATCTATCACTCAGGCAATTAGCAGCCAAGCTTACCTTGTTGTTATGCTTAGTCTCTTTCCGACGGGTATCGGATGTTCGGGCTTTCGACGTGGACGGCTTTACTATAACGCCCGTCGGTGTTACGTTTTTGATAACCCGAAGGACTAAGACGGACTCCAAGTCCGTGTCCTACCCGTTTTTTCCGGCAGTTCCTCGTCTTTGTGTCGTCTCCACCTTACTCCGTTATGTGGAGGTTACGGCGCCTCTTCGGGCTAACGGAACGGGACAACTGTTAATCTCGTATACCAGACCATACAAACCAGTGACTACTACTACGTTAGCTAGATGGATACGATGGTTACTGTCACTAGCCGGGATAGATGCTAGTTTCGGGGCCCATTCGGTTCGAGGGGCGGCAGCTTCTAAGGCCTTCTCGGCGGGTGCCTCCCTTGCGGACATTCTACGTACGGCGGATTGGACCAGAGAGAACACCTTCAGGGTGTTTTACTTTCGCCAATCATCACACGCGTCCTTAGCGTTTTTACCCCAGCGTTAAAAATGCAAAATAGGAAGCCTCCTGTCATGTAATAAAATTGTACATTATGCTAGCGTAGTGTACAGATAATCTTAATTTTAATAATGACAGGAGGCGAGTATTTTCCCCCCCTTACTTCTCTTTCCCTCCCTATACTCTGAGGATTCACATACTATTTCAATCTAGCTACGGGTAAAAACTGAGACAAGGGACGCTTAAACCAGATGTCATTTACTATTAGCTCAGTTGTCAGATCAGACTATAACCTCGCTGTGTACATAGGATTATATGGCTGTTAGAGATGCTAACGTTGATGTGTTAATTTTAGATTTTAGATACTAACATGAGTTTTTGCTAGAGTTAAGACTAGGCTTAAAGGTTGATATGCGGACAACAGTTGTTTTCCCACGCCTTTCACTTTTTTCTATGTCTTTCAGCTTAACTTCACTTCATGAGACAGAAGTCGGATTCTAGATATTCCCTACGTTTTCCACAAGTTGACAAGTTATTCCGTTCAAGTTTTCTTCATCTACGAAAGAATTTGTCGCTTCCCGGCACGATCACAACAAAGAAAGAGGAAATGGGAAGCCTGTCAGGGACTTATATACAAGAGGTGCTGGACTCTGATTGGTTAAACCTTTTTCTTTTCTGATTGATTGACTTGTGCTGCTGGAGGCATAAAGTAAAGAAAGTTTATGCAAAATACTCGCCTCCTGTCATTATTAAAATTAAGATTATCTGTACACTACGCTAGCATAATCTACAATTTTGCTCCCTTTGTTCTGCTTCCTATATTTGCAAAAAGCAGCCACTCACAAACAGACTGATAGACAGATTGACACATGCATATTTATGTGTATCTATTTTTTTGTATCTACAGAAACAGAATGATGAACGAAGAAAATCTTACCATAATAACAGAATTTATTCTGGTGGGTCTTTCAGTTGATTCTCATCTTCAGTTTTTGTTGTTCTTGATATTTTTATGCATCTACATTATCACTGTTCTTGTAAACACAGCTGTAATTATTCTATACAGGATTAGCCCAAACCTCCAAACTCCAATGTATTTTTATCTTGCCAACTTCTCATTTCTAGAAATATGTTACATAACCTCCACCGTACCCAAGATGTTATCAAACTTTTTGTCAAAGCACAAAACAATCTCCTTCTCTGGATGTGCAACACAGATGTACTGCTTTCTTTTTTTGGGGGGCACAGAGTGCTACATGCTTGCAGTCATGGCTTATGACAGATACCACGCCATATGTCATCCTCTGTTATATACCATTAATATGAACAGTAGAATTTGCATTCGGCTTATAGGTGGGTCCTGGCTCGTTGGTGCGATAAATTCTCTTATACACACTGTCCAAACATTTACATTGCCGTTTTGTTGAAATACAATCAATCATTTCTTTTGTGATATCCCCCCTCTGTTGAAACTTGCATGTATTGACACCTGGGTCAACGAAACAGCCATCTTTCTCATAAGCGGCTGTGTTATTGTCGGATCATTCATATTAACGATGATTTCGTATACACAGATCATTTCAACAATTCTGAGAATTCGTTCAACGTCCGGGAGAAATAAATCCTTCTCAACTTGCGTCTCTCATTTTACTGTTGTTACTATATTTTATGGTTCTGGAATTTTTATGTATTTTAGACCAAAGTCAAGCTATTCAATGGATCAAGACAGGATGATAGCTGTCATGTATACAATTATTGCCCCACTATTAAACCCATTTATATACAGTCTGAGAAACAGAGACGTGAAAATAGCTGTCAAGAAATTAATGATTAAATTGAGCTCAAGTAAGACGTTGTAATGGCAGTAGAGCATTGGTTTACTTATGCATACAGCTATTTATTTTTAATTTTGTATTTTCTGTCCAGGTGTCCTTGGGTTATAAAAAAAAACCAGTCTCATCTTATTAAGGATCAATCTGATCAAACTTCATTAGAATGAAGTTGTTCTGGTGCCCAGAGTGTTCCTTTAATTTCAAGCATTTTTGTATGAAAGACGATTATTATTATTATTATTATTATTATTATTATTATGATATTTATAGAGCGCCGTCAAATTCCGCAGCGCTTTACAATGGGTGGACGAACAGACATGTAGTTGTAACTACACAAGTTGGACACACAGGAACAGAGGGGTTGAGGGCCCTGCTCAATGAGCTTACATGCTACAGGGAGTGGGGTAAAATGACACAAAAAGGTAAGGATAGTATTAGACTAGTGACAGTTGCAGAAGAGGAATCGGTCAGGAGCTATTAACAGTTTAAAGGATACGCTTTTATGAAGAAGTTGGTTTTTAACGATTTTTTGAAGGAATGGAGACTGGGTGAGCATCTAACGGAAGAGGGAAGCGAGTTCCACAGGAACGGTGCAGCCCTCGAGAAATCTTGAAGGCGAGCATCAGAGGTGGGAGTACGGACAGAAGATAGACGTAAGTCTTCAGCAGATTGTAAGGGCCTAGACGGGACATACTTGTGTATAAGGGAGGATAGATAGGTAGGAGCAGCATTATGTAGAGATTTGAAAGCAAGAACCAGAATTTTAAATTGAGCTCTATATTTTATAGGAAGCCAATGTAGGGATTGACAGAATGGTGAGGAATGGGAGGTGCGTGCGGACAGGAAGATGAGCCTCGCCGCCGCATTCATTATGGACTGTAACGGCGCTAGTTGGGAGTGCGTAAGACCACTGAGAAGCGGATTACAGTAGTCAAGGCGAGAAAGGACAGTTTAATGGACCAACACCATAGTCGCATCTGGCGTTAAGTAGGGGCGGAAGCGCGCAATGTTTTTTAGATGGAAATTACAGGATTTAGAGATAGATTGAACATGAGGCTTGAAGGAGAGGTCGGAGTCACAGAAAACACCTAGACAGCGAGCCTGCGTGGTGGAGCTGATGGTAGCACTGTTGACTTGGAGGGAGACAGACACAGGAGTAACAACACTTGAGGGAGGAAAGACCAGAATTTCAGTTTTGGTCAAGTTTAGTTTAAGGAAGTGGGCAGCCATCCAGTTAGAAACAGCAGAGGGGCAGTGAGAGACACTAGTCAAGAGGGACGGGGAGAGATCAGGAGAGGACAGGTAGATTTGCGTGTCATCTGCATAGAAATGATATTGGAAGCCAAAGGAGCTAATGTATAGAGATTGCTGAAAAATTCAAAGTTCTTCCTTTGCTGTAATTTTCACCCATGGTTCTCTTTTATTGTGACAATGATAATGATTATCATTAGTATTATTATTTAACAATAATATAAAAATATTTAACCAGAAACAGCAAATTTTAGTTTTTCTTCAAGTACGTTATGGGTATTTATTTTGTCCTATTTAATGTTACTCGGTCAATAAAATATTCATCTCTGTTGATTATGTCTAGATGAATACTTGTTCTAAAATGACATGAATGAATAGTAATAACAAATGCGTCTGAAAATGTGCACTGGATCTTATATATCTCATCCCTTGCTTATAGTAATTATATTTTTATAGAACGTGTTTATTTATATTTATCGAGGGATGAAATTCGCTGTTTTGGCAAATTCTGGGATATCAAAGAGGCACTGTCAAACCCGTTTGAAAAATGTATATTTTATAACTGTTATATCTTTATGAAATACTCATTTTGATTGTTTAGGAAGTACAATGAAATTCTAACCCAGTCAAGAGATAATTAAGGACTACTTTGTCTCTATAAATTTCCTCCGTATGAGTTTCGTAGACTCTGGGTGAAGTCTAAGTGTCAATCTCAAAAGGCACTACCAGGGAATTGGTTGTTTTTATGGATGATCCCGTGGTGGGATCCTCCATAGATCTTAAAGTTGCACTCTCGCTCATACTAGTATGGCCGTAACATCCACTCCTTGTATTGAAAAATTTAAAGTCTTTAAAGTAGCCCCCGGCCACTGGATACCCAGCAGTGACAGTGCTGCTTTAAAGTCTCTTCATTTTTACTGGACTTTGATATGTCTGTTTTAACTGATCACATATTAGCTGGAACTAGCAGGAGCACACTTCAAAAACCAAAGGTAAGGTAATACTTTTCTGTCAACCCTCTTGGGTCCCAAAAAATCTTATGTCAGCATGGCAAGACTCGCTGTTGTTAATTGAGTGGACATTCCATCCTAGAAAAAAAATCTTAAGATAGCAGATATTTATAACAACATAGGCTGTCAACAATATAGTTGTGAATGTATTATATGTATATATATTTTGAATTGAATGATTCAATACAATGGAACATTCAAGACAGGGGACCATCTTACCAGGAGTGAACATCCCAGCAAATTCACCCCATGGCCAGACTGGGTCATGCTCTTAAATTGCAAAAAAAACAAGTTACATCTCAGAGTCTACTGGCCTCAGTTAGCATGTTAAATGTTAAAGTTCATAACAGTACAATTAGAAAACGACTGAACAAGTATGGATTGTTTGAAAGGACTGCCAGGAGTAAGCCTCTTCTCCCCAAAAAGAACATGGCAGTACAGCTTAGGTTTTTAAAGTTGAATCTAAACAAACCACAAATCTACAACAAAATGACTGAAAACGAAAAAAATCAAGAGGTTGCAATGGCCCAGTCAAAGTCCAAACCTCAACTCAATTGAAATGCTGTATCAGGATCTTAAGAGAGCTGTGCTTAAACAATTGCCAGCAAACCTTAAACTAAACCCGGAACTGAAGCAATATTGTAAAGAAAAATGGGGCCATAAATTCCTCCACAGCAATGTGAGAGACTGATAGAGTCATACAGACAATGATTACTTAATGTTATTAGTGCTAAAGGTGGCTCTGCAAGCTATTGAATCATAAGGTGTACTTAGTTTTTCACTCCTAGGCTCTCCATTTTGGCTTTATTTATGTTAAATAAAACAAAATTATATATATACCATATATACTCGAATATAAGCCGACCCGAATATAAGCAGAGGCACCTAATTTTACCACGAAAAACTGGGAAAACTTATTGACTCAAGTATAAGCCTAGGGTGGGAAATGCAGCAGCTATTGGTATCAACATGCAATGCAAAGCTTCAGATTATCCAATGACTAATGGGAGTTACAGTCCCATTACAGACAGAATTTGCAGATTTTTTTCTCACCCCCACCTCCTCAGTGGTCCTTAACCCCCTTCTCCCCCCCACCTCCTTAGTGGTCCTTTCCCCCTCACCTCCTTAGTGGTCTTTTCCCCCTTCTCCCCCACCTCCTTATTGGTCCTTTCCCCTTCTCTCCCCCCACCTCCTTAGTGGTCCTTTTCCCCTTCTCCCCCCCACCTCCTTAGTGGTCCTTTCCCCCTCACCTCCTTAGTGGTCCTTTCCCCCTCAGTGGTCCTTTCCCCCTCACTGGTCCTACCTATGTAGCGTGGCTGGACGGCTCGGACCACAGTACAGGAACTTCTGTTTCCTGTACCCAGCCGCCGGACTGAATTGAAGCGCTCACTGAGCGGGCACTTCCTGTCATTCCGCCGGTGGCTGGGTACTGGAAACAGAAGTTCCTATACTGCGGTCCACGCCGCCCGGCCACGCTACATTGAGTGATCAGCAGGAGGGAGCGCTGTGTGCTTCCCTCCTGCCGGTCGCCTAAATCTAGCATCTGGAAGCGCTCACTCGAATATAAGCTGTGTTTTTTTTTTTTTCAGCTTAAAAAATGTGTTGAAAAAGTTGGCTTATACTAGAGTATATGCGGTGTACATATATATATATATATACACAAATAATTAATTGGTCATTTCAATGTTCCTAACAATATAAATCTTTGTGCAGATATATAAATACATAGTATACTGGCAACAAAAATATACCAAACCCCCAAAGAAAACACATGAAAGAAGGAGCTAGAAGTGTTGTCTAGAAAAGCGGTGTAAAATGTTTTATTTGTGGTATGCATTTTATTTATTGCTTTTTAAACTTATTTTTGTGTACAAAATTATTTATTAATGAAAACAGTTACACCACTGATTGGTGTTTTTTTTTTACAATGTATAAAATATAAGATGCATGTTATGCGTATATTAACACTAGTGTCATTTTGCTCTGACTTAACATGCAACATGGTTAAAGAAACACTCCAAGCACCATAACCACTACAAATCACTATAGTAGTTATGGTGTCAGGAAAACCCTGGCAAGCCCTTTCATTATATTGTAATTAGTTAGACCATTTTAGAATGGCTTGACTTCTTCCATGCGATGACAGGCACAGCTTCTTGCCTCTAATACGGGCAACACATAGCTTGAATATCTCTGAACAGCTGATGCGCTTAGTCATAAACTGTCCCTGCAATGCAGGGATTAGCTCAGAAGAGCTAATGGAAGCTCCTGCTGAGAAGCTTCCAGCTCTCAGTTGTCAGTAGTGCAGGCAGGGAGCGGCATCAGGTAATGTTCCTCTAAATTCCTAATAGCAGCTGGTGAAACAGCTTGCATTATTTTCAGTACTAATAGTCATAATAAAACTAATAATAATAATTTTGGGTCATGTAAAGTATTGTACTTATTTAATGAAAAGGTGTTAACATTTTCTAAGTCACTTACCAATACAAAGAATAGAATGTTGTTTTAAAAGGTGGCATTTGTAGACACTTACGCGCATCCCTGTGATTTAACCCTAACCCTTCACTACCAAGCACTTTTTCATTGAAAAAATATTAGCATAGCATTTATTTGAGGCAAGAGATGTATTGTTTGCACATAAACCGTGGCGTACACATGACCCATGGGGCCCCGGTGTGAAAATTGATCCGTGGCCGCCCCCCGCGCGCAGGCCGGACCGCAACACATGGTGGTGGGCACCTGGTCGCAGGGGTTACAGGGCTGCGACCCTTGCGACCGCGGTATGTACGCCAGTGCATGCAGATGCACACACACTTAAAGGACCACTACAGACACCCAGATCATATCAGCTCAATGAAGTTGTCTGGGTGTCAGGTCCCTCTATTTTTAACCCTTTTTAACACTCACACTCACTCTAACACTCACACACACTAACACTCACTCTAACACTCACACTCACTAGCACTCACACTAACACTCACTAGCAGACACACACTCTAACACTCACTCTAACACTAACACTCACACTCACTCTAACACTCACTCTAACACTAACACTCACTCTAACACTAACACTCACTCTAACACTCTAACACTCACACTAACACTCACACAAACTCTCACACTAACACTCACACACACTCTAACACTCACACTAACACGTGTTTTTTTTTATTTTTTTAATGTAATCCTCCCAGCCTCCTTAACTTTTGGAGTGCTGGGGGGATTCCCTGGGGTCCAGTGGTGCTGCTGGGCTCCTGGGCGGGTGGCTGGTCGGGCAGGCGGGTGCGCGAGGGAACACTCAGTGCTTCCTCTTCAGCTCCCTCGCGCGCCGCGTAGGGATGCTGGCGCCGGAAGATGACGTCATCTTCCGGCTCCGGTATCAGTGCGGTGCGCGAGGGAGGTGAAGAGGAAGCACTGAGTGTTCCCTTGCGCGCCCGCCTGCCCGACCAGCCACCCGCCTGCCGGGTGTCAGCAGGCCCTGGGGTGGTCGGCTCCTGGGCCCCCCAGGGGAAGAGGCTGGCCCAGTGGGTACACACCCTGGTATCTACGCCACTGCACATAAACATATCAAAACGCAGCAATGTTGTATATAGATTGCTTTACAGACAAAATTTTAACATTTGTAAATTTACACAATTTTATTTTTAGTTTGTCCTTTATATCTTAATATCTGGAAAATTAAAAACTTTAGACAGTGCACATTATCCTTCATCATGCAATATTTCACACAGGGTCTGAATTACAAATGAAAAATATGTAAAATTACAGAATTTTCTTTTTCTTTTATTAATTCATCCTTTATAAAAAAAATATATGGGAAATAAAAAAGCTTTAGACAGTATACAATGTCCATCATCTTGCAATATTTTACACGAGGTGTGGCAAGGTTACATTACTTAGATACAGTATGTGTGATAAAAAATATATAAATAGAAATGGTCAAAAACCTTGCCTATAAGTATTTGTAAGGACCCTGAAGCCATGACTAGTAGTGCAGTTTACTAAATATTGCAATAGAGTGTAAAAAGAATGTCTGCATTTAAGTATGCTGTCCACATACAGTAAATACAGTTTAATCATATTTCTAAAATAAAGGTACTCAGAACTACTATAGCAATCTTTATAAACCTCTGTAATACTAATGTAATGCTAACAGTGAAATGGTAGATCTCATTCACTCCCCCCTCTTCCCTTACTGTAAGAATACTTTCATCCAGTGAAACTTCCTGTACTGTTTGAAAGCAAGGGGTAAACTTACATTTTCAGCAACTTTACATTCATTATATCAGTGAATAGTAGCTTCTGGCAGAGAAATTCATTCCTCTACAGGCTGCTAATCATAACTAGAGAATTAACGAGGGTAAGTGAGGCTTTATAGACAAGAGTTTATACTGAATATACATGGAAATAAAAAAGGTTTATACTCAATTCTGGTATTGAAGAGGTTAATGCACATTGTCAAAGATCTAACTTTAACCAAACAAAATGTATAATTGTCAGGGTTATTCACTAAAGTGAGAATTCACTTGTTAATATAAAGTGGTTCTAAAATTTAAAGGGACATGTATCACTTTGATACAACTTTCTCATTCATATTTTTAGCTTTGAATAAAATAGTTGCATCGTTCTGTAGGCTGAAAAAAAAGCAGGTATATATGATTTTTTTTCTTGCCTTTCTTATGCTTTCCACACCCACTACAGGGGGCACACTGACCAGTCAGTGTCCTATCCCTAGGAATACTGGAAATGTGGGTTGGGCATTCCTAAAAGAGGTACAAATTTGCAGTTTGAAAATCTCTTCACCTACCAACATCCTGACATGGGAGAAGAGAGGGAGTCTGTTCCATGTGATTCATGCAGAGCAGGCTCCGGTGTCAAGTTTCTTTTTCCTGATTCTGCACAATGATGCCTTGTTTCAGTTATTGGTAAACTGGTCTGAATCTGATCTTGGTGGGTAAGACAGAAGGGGGATGAGGCTGAGAGCATCCAGCATCATCTAAAACCCAATAGGAAGGACTTAAGCAATGCTTTCATATAGGGCAGTCCTAATGCAAGCGCCCATGTGCATTAGGTCCCCCTTGCTGGGTGACATCGGCAGAGGAGCAAAGGCAGAGCCTGACCGATGGAACATCGTCACTGTAATCTGGTAAGTGATAGAAGGGTTTTTAACCCTTCCATAGCCACTTGAGGGGGTGGGGAGGGAGGGAAGGGGCAATATAGGTCACTATAGTGGTAGGAAAACAACTTTGTTTTTCTACCACTATAGGGTCCCTTTAAGGGAGAATACACACAAAAAAAAAAGCTTGCTTGCTTTTTTAAAGGATTTAGAGAACTTATGGCACGTAGCATATAATTATTTTCACAAAGATGAAATGGTAGTTTTCACATATTCCTATTAAAACCTAACTTTACAAAACTATTTAAATATGCCTGAAGCTGATAGGTGTATATTTGTGCTTTCCATATTTAACATTAAGAATCAAGTACACATTTACCCATGAGCAGTCTACATAAAATGTTGATTGTATATTACCATGGACCAGCACAATGTTTATTTTACTGATGCTGACATATCACCACAGTTTTGTAGAATACACAGGACTTCTTAGTGCCTATTAGTTAAAAGTGCTTGAAGCAGTACATAGCATGAGTGAGTTCAATTAGTTAATCCTAAAAATCCTTTCTTTGGGTCCCTGCCATAATTAATATTACTGGTGCAGAGGATGAATACTACACATTACTGGGGGAACGTTTCAAGCACTACTCAAGAACATGAATCATTTGTGTGTTCTGAAAAAAACTTAATACTCTGTCAATCATATTTACTGGAAATCTGAAGAATGCATAAAAAAAAATTATAATAATTTTAATGTTATTAACCATGTTGCTTTATCTTTCACTGAGCATCAGGAGGAAGAGCTGAAGCAGAAACGTTGGCCGTGTTGCCAGCATTCAAGGAAGTAGTCTGATAAATCACCACATGCTGTAATACAACATAGATGTAATGTTAGTCACAAGAGACACCCATGCATATATTTCTATGTTTTAAATAGTATGGATTTTGCTACCTAGAACAATGTAAATTATAAATAATTCTTTTTTTATGTGGCTAATATTCATCAGAATATTGCGTAATCGGTGCATGTTTGCTATCGTATCAGTTTATATAATTTTTCTAGTTTACAATATTAGCAATAGGAAGTAGATAAACTTTTGTTTCTACTTCTATATTATATTATTTAGTGCTCGTAGTTTCATGACTATAAACCCACCAGCACTGTACTGAAACATAAAGGAACATTCCAAGAACCTGCCTCTATGACACTCAGAAGGACAGGTCTTAGCTCAGAATAGATAACAAAAGCTCCTATCAGGACCTTAAAGGACCACTCTAGGCACCCAGACCACTACAGCTTAATGAAGTGGTCTGGGTGCCAGGTCCAGCTAGGGTTAACCCATTTTTTTATAAACATAGCAGAGAAACTGCTATGTTTATAAATGGGTTAATCCAGCCCTCAAATCCTCTAGTGGCTGTCTCATTGACAGCCGCTAGAGGTGCTTGCGTGATTCTCACTGTGAAAATCACAGTGAGAAGACGCCAGCGTCCATAGGAAAGCATTATGAATGCTCTTGCCGCGCGTGCGCATTCAGCCGAATGGGAGGAGAGGAGGCGGAGAGGAGGAGGAGAGCTCCCCACCCGGTGCTGGAAAAAGGTAAGTTTTAACACCTTTCCTCTCCCCAGAGCCCGGCGGGACGGGGACCCTGAGGGTTGGGGCACCCTCAGGGCACTATAGTGCCAGGAAAACAAGTATGTTTTCCTGGCACTATAGTGGTCCTTTAAGGCTCTCACTGGCAGAAGGGACAAGTGCCCTTCAGACCAGAGGTAAAAAGTCAAACCTTTAATTATTTACTTTTATTTCTTATTTAGTTTTAATTTTTTGTATTTTATTATGATCTTTATCTTTATTATTTTTATTTTCTCTTTACACCTTTTTAGTTATTTTTTTTTTCCCCCCTCTCTCTTGCTTCTTTTTGTTTCCAAACAGCTGTTTAGTGGGATTGGCATATCGTACGCCTGATTTAGGCTGCACGCATGCGCATATGTATCTAAGTTTGGCTAATTTCCAGAGGACGCCTTGCGCTGTATTATGAGTGGCTCGTTCCCATGCTCGAGCGCATGAATATGCGTAAAGCGAGTGCCATTCGTGCGTATGAACGTAAAAGTGTTCTTTTGCCCTTTTTGAGATTGCCTTTCAATTTTAGTTTGTGCTTGTGCTGATTTACTGCATTCCATGGAACAGGAAAGCTTTCATGTGTCCATGTTACTGGAAGTATCCTTTTTTTGCCTTGCCAAACTTTTATTTTTATTTTTACCTTTATTATTTTGTTTGTTTGCTTTTGTTTTGACTTTTTGTTATTTTATTATTGCCTCCTGTCTCTTCCTTCTCTGACATACAGAGGTAAGCCATGGATCATTGTATGTATAGACATTGTGTGTGTTCTGTATGATTTGTGTTTATTATTTATGTTAATGAATTTTAATTAAGTGAATTATTGGTTAATTTTGTTAGCATTGTTTGATATATATATACACTTAATTTTGCCTTGTGGTGTTAGCTTGAAAAAGACCTCTCAGAAGGTCAAAACGTTGCTGTTCTTTTGTTTCATTAAAACTGCCTGGAGAATCTATTTTTTGCCTTGTCGTTGTGGGATTGCTGGTCCTGCTCCGGAGCACTGGGTGGCTGCTGGGATTGAGTGCGGCTCCTACCATCACTTTTGCAATCTAGTCTAGTTAGCCAATTTATAAAATTCTCCCTGGAGAAATATGTATTATATTCACTTGACTCCAGTTGGTGCACAGTGAGTATAACCTGACTATTAGTAACTCTATCCCTTTACTCACCAAGGACACAGCTTCAGAAATAAAGGGAATCATATGACGAAACATTTCCGACATGTGTCTTTAAGGGGTTTTATTAATGTTTCACGAGGGTGCATGTTATCTTATATATATATATATATATATATATAGATAATAAATACTCTGGCCAGAGCCAATGGTAAATTAGAAGAAGCTGTATAAAAGATTTGTATTGTAACTGATCACATACATTTTATTGGTATGTCAACCTACTTGGATTAAAAGTTAAGTTTTTGCACTTTCCCTGTACATAAAAGCACATCAAATATATGCTAAAAACATAAACTTACCATTCCACTGTCAGATGCACGGCACATTGTCTTGCATCCAAAGATGGACATGGACAGGGAAGTGCAGAACTGCAGCAGAGTAGAGATTACAAATATTGCTCCAATGCACATTAGTGCATGCTGTAAAATAAAGCAAGTAATAAGTTGCATAATAAAATACGCTGAACAGAAATAATATATACATACTTATTACTGCATGTATTGTTTTTGCATTGGTCTTATTTTATTTAGAATACAGTGATATTTAAATGGCATTGTCTAAGGAGGAAGTGAAGGAGGAGGAGATGCTGGGGGGAGAGGAGGAGGAGGAGATGCTGGGGGGAAAGGAGGAGGAGGAGATGCTGGGTGGAGAGGAGGAGGATGTGATGCTCTTTATACAATTTCAGTCTGGCATGTAATCAAACTACAAGTTGAGTATCCCCTTGCATGCATCTTTGGCACAGTTTACATGCAGTTTTGGTGCAGTTGGACGGACAGAAACCTGATGAAAATTGCATGTCCATTGACATACATACAAAGCTGCACCAAAACCGGATGTAAGACGGATGTAATTCTGATGTAAACTGTGCAGATTCCCAACCAAAGCAGCATGTAAGATGCGTGCAAACTGCAGGCGGATAGATGGGAATAGGTCCTTAGTTAGGTGAAGCATCACCGAACACCAGTGCGTTTTCATTTTCTAGACTTGATGATTTTTCAATAAAACACAGTTTTCATAATTGAACTCTCTGTTGTTGTGTTCTTTTAAAACAAAATATGTTAATTAGTTTGGGAAATTGTATGAGTTGTTTTTTTCTAAACTTAAACTTCAGTATTCAGGTTTAACCCCTTAAGGACAAAAAGTGGTCCTTAACGACGCTGACGTACCTAGTACATCCTCCATGTCCTTCTTACTTACCCACATACTAGGTGCTATGAGAAGCCTGAGGGTGAGGATTAAAATGACCCTGGCCTGTTATGTGAGGCCTTTGCCCAACCGGAGTTCAGGAGTGCTACAGAGTCACGCTTTTGGGTCATACATAACCATAGGGAGGCCATACTGGATATCCCTAGAGCTGGCGACCTAGGGCCAGATCTGATCCATCTGGTCACACTAGAATGGGATCTGGAGCAGGAGTACCAGCACCTGCTCAGCTCAATTCAGCCCCAATCTACCCGGCAGACAGACCCAGATCTGCGTGAGGTACCCCCTGCTTCACTACCAGCTACCGAAGTAGGGGACCTCATAGACTTTTTTTCCTGGGAAGACCTCCAGACGGCATGTGGAGATGGGACAGATCCCCAGCTACAGCCGGAGTTACCGAGAGTAGGGCCAGTCGGTCCTACTCCCCAGTTGCCCAGTATGTTATTGGGCGAAGAGACGGTTCGGTCTCTCTCCCCAGTGGCAGTGTATCCTACAGGGAGTGGAGACAATCAGTCTCACTCCCCAGCAGCAGTGTGCAATATTGGGAGCGGAAGGTGTTGTCCTTCCTCCTCAGCGACAGCCGGATTTACCGGAAGAGGAGACAGTTGGCCCTTCATGCCAATTACAAGAGGACAGCACCCCTGACCCCAATGGTGAAGATGGGACCGCGGTCTCTGTATCAGACTTACAGGAATATTGGACCGCTGGTCCAGACTCCCAACCAGACCCGCAGGAATACCAGGAGTAGGTAGGCGATCCCTTTTCTCCACAGCCAATTCCCAACCAGGTACTGAGGTTAGTGGATGAGACTGCAACACCCACTGACCCCCTTCCAGTAGAAGAGCTGGCATCAGGGCAGAGCACCGCTGGCCTCTTCCCTACCTTCCTCCTTGTTACAGGGCAAGATTATGTACCAGTTATCCCAGCGTAAGAACTGGCAACCGGGCAGAGAGCAGTTGGCCTCTGGCCTCCCCTTTCCCTTTGTCCAGGGCCTGAATACCCACAAGCCACCCCAGCAGAAGTGCTGGCAACAGGGCAGAGGGCAGCTGACCTCTGCCCACCAAGTACTCACAACTCAGTGCCTGGGAGCACAAGAGAGGTTGGGGGGGACTGACACCCACTCAGCAACCTGGCATATACAGTACATAGCTGAATATTCACATATTTAGGTATATGTTCATTAACCCTTTCGCGATGCAAGATGGAAAGTTTTCGTCAGGCATGTCCTACCCTTATGAACACATGACGTAAAATTTCCCAACATTTACTAAAATTAACCCGATATCGCATTAATCATGGGGGATTGCTGCTGCAGTCTGCCCCAGTGTCCGAGGCAGGCAGGCAGCAGCCAACTGCATGGCCCCAGTGAATGTGATCGCTCTGACAGCCAGTCAGAATGAGCACGTGTGCTGCGGGGACTGCTTACCCGCCTCCCTGCACCTCCATGCTCAGTGTGAAGTGCAGGGAAATGGATCAGTGCTGATCTGCTTCTCCCTAGAAAAGAAATTATATTAAGTTAAAAATCCAGCTCCCCATTTACTCTGCTGTAATAAAATGTAATAAAATGTAACCCCATCCCTGCCAATTGATCATTCCCTGCAGTGATCAAACTTCAGATCCCAGTATTTTACTATTATCTGACTTTTTTTAACCCCTGAGGGTTAACTTTTAATTTCTTTTAACCCTCCGGGTTAAATATTTATAAATCATTTTTTTCTTTATTTAGCTAAAGTGGGTAGAAGTTAGTGGGGGGATTGGGGGATTTACTGTTAGGCTAGTTAAGGGTTAACAGTAAAAAAAGTTTTTAAAAGTTTGAAAAAGTTTTAAAAAAGGGAAGAAAATGCTTATTACCGCTGATTCCACACTAAAGTTCAAAATATTCCTTTTAAAACACTCAGGAGCGTCTTCTTTAAAAAAAATTGTATGACAATGTTGTGTAGTTCTAATAAGCGACCTGCTAACATATTCCAAAATGGGACATGGACCCAGAGTAAAATGTCAAAGTTTGAAAAAAACTTAAATGGCTGTGTTTCAAATTTGCCCTTTCAATGTCCACATATAACTGGCAAAGGTACATATGGGGCTATTGCTTTACTCAGACGATATAACTGAGAAAAATATGAAATATTATTCTGCCTTAGCACACATAAGGTTTGACGCATTATATGTGTCAAAAAGGCAGAAGAAAAGCTTATTACCACTACACTTGGTACAAGCTAGGGTAAAAATGATCCCGTGCTAAGGTTTAAAATATGGCTTTTGAAACACCCTGGGGCGTCTTCTTTGTGGGGTAGTTGGAATGAGCTAATACTCCAAAATTGGACATTAATCCAGTGCAAAAATTCAAATTTGAAAAAAATGGAATTGCTGTGTCTTAAATGTGCCCCTTCAACATCCAAAAATACCTGGCAAAGGTACATATATGGGTATTGCCGTACTCGGATGATATAGCTGAGCAACATATGAAGTATTATACAGCCATAGCATACAGGGTTGCAAAATATATAGTACAAACTCACTGTGTGTGTCAAAAAAAGCCTATTACCACTACACTTGGTACAAGCTAGTGGAAAAATGATCCCACGCTAAGGTCTAAAATATGCCGTTTGAAATACCTTGGGGTTTCTTCTTTTAGAAATGGTATGCATTTATGGGGTAGTTAGAATAAGTATCCTACTAAAAATAGGACATGGACCTATCAAAACCATCTATGAAAATTTCATGATTAAAAACCTGAAATTGTCACGTCTCTTTTACAGTAACTTCACAAAATGGTGTCTATGTCATACATTGGGCATATTTTTTTACTAGGAAGATGTAATTGAGCATAATTTGGGGGATTTTATGACAGTGGCACATATCAAATGTACAAAATACCCCAAAATGCAACATGTGTGTAAAAAAAGTGCCTTTTTTGTTCCTCACCTCAAACTTTGACATAAATTGATGAACAAATGGCGGCACATTAAGGCACAATATATGCCATATAAGATACCCTGGAGTTTCAGCTTTCTCAAACGAAAGTCCTTTGTGGGGTTATTTGAACAGTCAAACTGCTATAATGCCACTAAATCAGACATAGGTCCATCAATTAAAATTCTAACTATAGAAACTGAAAAAGCCTGGTCTCTTATATGGCAATGTAGCTTCGCGGAATAGTGGCAAAGGCATACAATGGGGATATTGTTGTACTCAACAGATGTAGATGACCTCAATATGGGTTTCATTTTGTACAGGAATAGCACACACCAGCTTTATGAAATACACATTAAAATAACATTGTTATATGTTTGTATGTCGAAAAACAGAAAAAACACAATTTTACTACAATATTTAGCAGAGATTGTCGGTGACATGGCTACATAAAAAGTGTCAAAACAACCTTAGGTAAATAGCCTGTGATGTCTACTTTAAATAAATATATACTTTTGTGTGGCAATATTGTTTTCTGTGACGGCTTAATGGATTAATCTTACAAGACAAACATACCAAATTTTAAAATTATTTCACATTGAAATTTTTTATAGGCCTTGTAGTTTGTGACCTGTAACTTAAAAATAAATAAATAAATAAAATCCTACACATATTATGTACTCTAAAAATCAAGACACATACATTAATCTATTTTGAATTCCTTTTACTAAGCTGGACATATTATGCAGAAGTTACTATTACCAAAACTGTGAATTTTTTTTTTGGAATTTTTCCCAAAAAACAAGTCGCAAGATAGTGTTGAGAATGTACAACAGGTCAATTAGCCTGCCCTTCGGTGGGTCTCTGCTCAGTTCTCAAGCTGGTTTTAGCTCATCTTGTGCCATTACCCAAAAGGGCAGAACAGATCCGAAATACAGGCCGGCTCTCTCTGCACGAGAGATACAGCAACCCTAGACGATCATTTCAACCTTCTTAGGCATCATCAGTGAGGTATAGTCAATATCTCTTTAGGCACCGTGAGCAAGGGGTCCATGTCAAGTCGCAAGAGAGTGCTGATAATGGACAACAGCTCAATTAGCCTGCTCTTCAGTGGGTCCCGCTCAGTTCTCAAGCTGGTTTTAGGTCATCTTGTGCCATTACCCAGGGAACCAGGCCATTCACATCTGAGATTGATTCTACCCAAAAAGGCAGAACAGATCTAAAATACAGGCCGGCTTGTTTTCTGCTCTCTTTATATGCGTGTATGTCACATCAAATTAAAGCCCTTGTTTTCTTAAAAATTGTATATATATGTATTTGTACAATAAACGAGAGAGTTGCAAACTGCAGTTTAACACAAACAGCATAAGATGCAAAATTTGCTTGTGTCCTTAAGGGTAAGCCCATCTTCTGAAGCTGTGTCCTTATGGAGTTGTTAATGCTCTTTTGTACTTTTCTTGTATTGTGAATGTTAATAAACATGTGCTGTGCTATATTGTTTTGAAATACATATCTCGATGCATCTCAGCTGTGAAGCCTGGAAGACTTTATACAAATATATCTCTTGTTTTGTAAATACAATGTTTATTGTTTTGACATATCCATGAACAATAAAGGATTTTTAAAAAAAAGTTAGTTCCCCACCTGTATAGGTGCCAACAGTATGTAATTTGCAGGACATTTGAGGGTACTGTACCTACAAAACTGGGTCCTGGGGACCTTTCATGCATTTTGAAATCTGCTGGCCAGATTTCAAGATGCAGGAAGGGACTGGGCACTAGGTCAATGCTTGGAGAAAATGAGCCAAGCTCCAGGCATGATCTGCCTTAAACGGGCAGACTCTGTCAGCCTTCCCACCATTTTTGCAAGCAGACCCACCACTTTTATGGGCAGGTCCACCATTCATAATGTGCTCTGTGCAGTCTTTTCTCCTGCTTGCCCACCTCAGTCTGAGAATGTGGGCAGGTAAGACTGGCAGGTATGCATCTGCTCCCTCAGTAAGAGTTCTAACACTTCACGCAGGGACATGGTCTATGTTGGCAGAGGGAGCAGATGCTGAGCTTTGTTTTGAATATATAACTAGATTAATTTATTGAGATTTCCAATCCTGGCAAATGAAGCAAAACTTTAGAGAGCCCAAGGTCGCCAATAATTACAGATAATCCCCCAAATTACCAATTGAAATATGTGGCGACTATGCCCATTGACTACATTTGGACCTAAAAATTGCACCAGTTAGCTCAAAGGCCCCTAAATGTGCTGGATACATCACTTTTATTTACAGCAGTATATTCACAGAAACCTACTAAACTCCAATGACCAGGTTAAGCTTCATATTATATAATGTAATTAATCTAACCCCAGGTCCATAGGTTAAAAAAAGAATGTTAAAATAAATAAACTGAAAAAAATGTAATTAGTCAAATAGGGGAACTCTAATTGGAAGAGGACATTTTCATCTGACTCTTGCTCACACATTTCAAAGGTTTAAAGATTAACCAAATCATAATAATAACAAAAATAAACTTACTTTTAAGTTGAAATTTCCTTTACATTTGTGTATTGGATCATAGTATGCACATTGCATGTAGTATGTACTGTATATGGTACTCCTGTGCCCTTCACTAATAAGATAACTAATATATATTAACAGGGAAACCGCAGCTATCACTGTACTGATTGTGTTGATAATAAAGCTGGTGTTCACCTGGAATAGAAATACATAGATGTTTCATGCTTTATATTTCAGTTTTCAGGAAATCCAATTCATGCTTTTATAGTTAGTATCATTCAGTGTTTTGGAATAATTATTGCATATAGTCTACAATTATCATATTCTATAAATGTATACACTGATCAACAATTAAAAGTTAAATGTAAATCGACTTCTCTGATTATTTACACCGATGAGCCACAACCTTAAAACCTTAAAATTTTGACATGTAACACCTACCTGGAGCTAAGGTGTTCCCTGGTGGCAGTCGCCTTTTTCAGAAGGATAATGCACCCTGCCACGCATCAAAAATTGTTCAGAAATGGTTTGAGGAACATGACAAAGAGTTCAACATGTTGCATTGGCCTCCAAATTCCACAGACCTCAATCCAATTTAGAATCTGTGGGATGTGTTGGAACAACAAGTCCAATCAATTGAGGCTTCTCTCATTTAAAGGATCTGCTACTAATGTCTTGGTGCCAGTTACCATATGACACATTCCGAGGTTCTGTGGAGTCCATGCCTCCATGCATTAGAGCTGTTTTTGCACCACAGACAGGGGCTAACTGACATACCGAGCGGGCAGCGCTGGGCGGGCGGCCGGTGAGGGAGCTCTTCCTCTGAGCGGTCTGCTCAGCTCCCTCGCGCACCGCACAGTGAGGCTGGGAGCCGGAAGATGACGTCATATTCCGGCTCCCAGCCTCACTGTGCGGCGCACGAGGGAGCTGAGCGGATCACTCAGAGGAAGAGCTCCCTCACCGGACGCCCGCCCAGCGCCGCCCGCAGCCAATGGACCACCAGGGCGATAGAGAACCCCCTCCCCCTCCAGCATTCCCAAAGGTAAGAGAGGTGGGGTAAATAAAAAAAAAAAAAAGGTGTTAATGTGAGTGTGTGTGTTTGTTAGTGTGTCTGTTAATGTGTGTTTGTTAGTGTGTGTGTGTGACTGTGTGAGTGTGTCTGTCAGTGTGTATGTGTGTGTCTGACTGTGTGTGTCGGTCAGTATGTGTGTATGTCTGACTGTCTGACTGTGTGTGTCTGTCAGTATGTGTGTGTGTCTGTTAGTGTGTGTGTGTGTCTGACAGTTTGTGTCTGTTAGTGTGTATGTGTCTGTCTGACTGTGTGTGTGTCTGTTAGTGTGTGTGTGTGTGTCTGACTGTGTGTCTGTTAGTGTGTGTCTGTCTGTGTGTCTGTTAGTGTGTGTGTGTCTGTTAGTGTGTGTGTGTGTCTGACTGTGTGTGTGTGTCTGTTAGTGTGTGTGTGTCTGTTAGTGTGTGTGTGTGTCTGTTAGTGTGTGTATGCGTATATGTCAGTGAATGTGTGTGTGTGTATTTAGAAGGCGGGGGGAAGGGTTGGGTGGGGCTGGAGTGGCCTGAGTTTTGTCCTGCCTAGGGCAGCACAAAACCAGGATACACCACTGACCACAGGTAGGACCTACATGACATGGTTTTAATGTTGTGACTGCTCAGTGTATGTACTGATTAAATGTCAACCTAGAGCATCAACGATAGAATGTAAAAACAACATTTAGCATTTCTATTTCCATTTGCTGTAACTAATACTAAAAATTTAATTTAAAAGGGTAGCACCATTTTTTTTTTTTTGCTCCAGGCATCATAACTATTACAGCCAGTTGTAGTGGATATGATACAAAGAGTACCTGGGCGCCATTCCCTGTTAATGTGGCAAGCCCTTTTATAATTGTTTTGCCCTTTTTAAATTGTTTGCCTTTTCCCTGGGTCCTCTTGGGAGCCTGGCCTCTTATCTTGGTGATGCACATCTGGTTCTGAAGCTGCATGCTGATACTAATGCTCATTCTATGGCTTTCAGCCCTGAACTCTTATTCTTCCAGAGCTGAATTTACACCTCCAAAAACTATCCTACATATCATGGCATGTGCAGCAATTAATATTGAAATGCTGTGCATACAGACTCCAAGTACCATGACCACTTCAATACATTACTTTTAAATAGCTATTAGAACATTGTTGTGCATAATCATTAAATTAATTAAGCACCAATATCAAAAAGTAATAATCAATTACCCTAAGGTTTTTAAAGATATTGGTGGGCACCAAAACCCTATTCGGATGAGTGAATTTAGTATTTGAGAAAGGGAAAAACACTGACATCAAGTACTTGTAAATAATCAATACAAACTTTATTGACTAACAGAGACTTAATGCTTAATATTCATCTTAATAAAAACAGCTTAATAAAAACAGCTTAAAGAAACAGCTCAATTATACATCACCATAAGAGAAGCTTGCTGCACTCAACTAAGAAAACTTCTGTCAGTCAGGCATGAAGGGGACCCTCTCTTACTGGGAATCAGAAAAACCAGCAATACGCGTCTGTATTACAGGTGGGTAGTACTCCAAACAAGTGCCAAGTTTTCTCGTCTTTTATAAGAAACTTAATAATCAATGGGGTGAATAGTCTGTACTTTTCCACCAATTCTTCTTATCAGTGCAGCCCAGCAAAGACCTTGCAAAAGTGTTGAATGGGACCGAAAGCTGGCCAGGCTGATCAGGCCCACCAACAATACTGTGTCAGATCTGTGTGGTTATTATCTCTTATCTAAAAAGCTAGCTCTGTTCTCATAACTATCTTGTGAAGCTATGCATGAGTCATTCTGGTGCTGTGTTTTGTGGTTATTAACATTTTCAGTACAGTGTACTGGCGCCATCTTAACTATCAATAATAGTTTAATTTGCTCCTTAGTGGTCAATCAATCATTCTTAATTAACATGGAATATTATTATCACAAACATTGCAACTGTGTGATTTTGTAAAGATGTATTCTTAGAATGTTGCTGCTCACTGTACGAATGGTTTGTTGAGGTTGAAGCCCAGCAATAAGAGGTTGATCTGTGTTACTCATGGACATATTGCAATAAAAAAATAGATTTCCTCCATTGTATTCAAAGAACCAATGGCTAGAGGGTCTGGAGATATAGCTCCTTGCAGTTTCTTGTGGCAGTTGCTTGTACTATGTTTGAATGGCTTTATAGATTTATATTAAAGGGACACTCTAAGCATCAAAACAACTTTAGCTTAGTTATGCAGGTTTGGTGTATAGATTAGGTTTCTCACTCTGATAATTGCTCTGCTATTTTGGAATTAAAAGCACACTAAAGTGCTAGGATAACACACTTTTAATCCTAACATTTTAGTATCCCTGTCTCTATTTATAATGACTCCCCTCAACGTTTGTGCCATAAAAATAATAAAATAAAAATTTTCACCTACCATTTCTAGAATGAAGGCTCCCTTAACACTCTGTCTCCATGGCTGAGGCATGGCCACCTACAATGTGGTCAAACCCAATGCTCCTCATAGAGAAGCTTTAGAAACTTTCTGCAAAATGCAATGTTTTGCCTTGAAAAGTTAAAATGACAGGACCCATGCACCCAGGTCACTTCACTGAAATGAAGAGGTCTGGGTCACTTTAGCTGATGTTAGAATCACATACTTGTGTAACTATAAATTTATTGTAAAGCAAAATATTGCACCATAATGTAATATCTAACTATGAGGATGCATTTGGATGGAATTTTCTTTTAAATGAAAAATAAAAATTTATATACGAAAAAAAAAAAAAGAATCACATACTTGGTGGAGACTCACACTTACTATATTCAGGAAGTAGCGGAAGGGGTTTTTACCCCTTCAGTGACATGGGTTGGGGTGGGAGAGAGTGGGACACTCTTATGCCAGGGAAATGGGTTTGTTTCCCTGGCACTGGAGAGTCCCTTTAAGTAAGATAGAACTCTATGAAATGCTGGTATTTTTTGCATTGGAATTTCAGGTGTGTTTCACCTGAAATTTGAATTAAACTCAACCACTTATAAGGGCATATAATGATACGCTCTATCCTATCCTTTAATTTTGCTGACTAATTCTGCATGTTGAGTGGACTTAATCCTGACACATTACTAGCCTAGGGGCAATTTTTAACCATACGTTAATCAACTTTAAGGAAAACAAAAACAACACTTGAAAGTGTTTACCACAAAATGTTTTTATATTGTACAGAATATTTACCATTATCTTAGTTGGTTTGTTAGATGCAGCAACTGAAAGAGATCCAGAAATAATGTACTGTAAAGCAATTAAAAACGGCGTTAAACTGATTAACAATTATTAGACTTCAATATCTTATGGCTATGGGCATTGCTAGGTTTAATAAAAAAAACAAAAAACTGGGGTTTCAGCCCAAAAATTATTTGGTGACACCATTCCTAAAGCTCCACCCTTTGTCCCTCTACAACCCCACCCCTTAACATTCCTCTTGGCCCACTAACTATTTTTTACAGACCCTCATACAGGTACACAAACACAGGCAAACACAGCAGATACATAAGCATGCAGAGACATACACATAAACAGGCATACACAGGCACTGACTGATCCAGACGGACAGGCTCAGACGGGTCACATAATTACATAGGCTGAAAAATTGCAGCCATCAAGCTAAGAATTTCTCACATCTGTTTCTACTGTTAATACAAATTAAGGTAGAAACTCAGCTTGAGGCACTTTCTCAACCCCAGAAAGGCTGCAAAATTAACAAGTGGAATGGAATGGAATATTTTAGTCATGAGGAAAGGTGAAAAAAAATTAAATATGTAATTTATAAAAGCAATATCTCAGAGGGGATATAACATTATACAAATATATTCAGTGCCAATACAAAGCATCGTATGGAAATGTGATCATAACTAGAACTATACATAGGACATGAGGTCATCCATTTTCACTGGAAGAAAGAAGATTTAGTTGAAGGCAAATAAAAGGGTTCTTTATAGTAAGAACAATAAAGATGTGGAAATCTTTTGCTAAATAGATGATGTTATGAGAGACTGTACACATTTTTAAACGGCAACAGGATTAATTATTTCAAAAACATAATATTCCGAGATATTTTAAATAGTTGGTGTAACAGCTTCTTGATCCAAACAGAGATCTGACTGCCATTCTGTAATGGAGAATGGATTTTAACTAGTTTATAGCAAAAAGAGCTTTAAACTGGTTTTTGCTTTCTTTGAATCAACAGTAAAAACAGATGAAAGAAAGGGTGGACTTGATGGATGCAAATCGTTTTTCAGCCTATGTTACTCCCATTGGACTCCCTTTAGTTCCGTAGGAGTCTCAGCTAAGTACCGCTGGGACTATTCCTGGGTTTGGTTCATGTGAACAGCCGCCAGAGCCAGCGTTCGGTTCCATTCACATGAAGGGTAAGTGCCTAACCAGAAGCACCCAGGGAAAGCTGTTAATGGCAGCTGGGCAGAGTAACTCCCAAATGGTGTCCCAGACCTGGACCATAGTCTGTGGGCAGGAGGCTGGCTTCCACACTCTTCCAGGAGTCCATGGCAAATGTACGTGGGAAGGAGCATTTGTCACAGTTACCACTACACACAAATTCCCCCCTCCATTCACGCACACATGCTCCATAGAAAAATATTAAATTCAAGCACTTAGACACTGCACATCAATACAACCCTAAAAGCATGGACAAATGATAGTTCCCCAGCAAGCAAAGCATCGCAGGAGTGATACAATAACTACCTTTTGGCAACCATTTTTCTATAGATGGGCCCAAAAACATTTCTTGCACCAAGGCCCTCTCTTCATTAGTTCCGCCACTGTCACTGCTTACATTTTTACATATCCACAAGCATTATTTATATACCATTATCATAGTTACTTTTTTTGTTTTCATTTTGTTTCAATGCTTCTGGTACAAATAAGCTTGTAGCATTGCAATTATCATGCACAATTACTGTGAAATTGATAGTTTTCCTTACCAACAACCCGGTCCACAATGCAAGTTTGGAATCGTGTAATATATTAAAATGGACTCTCTCAATACTGAGGCCAACTCCCAAACCTATGTGAAGTGATCCTGCAAATATCTGAATGACCTATTGAAACATGTTAAATCAGATATAAAATATACACATATTTTCAAACATAAAGTTAAAATTTTACATATAATCTAACAAATTAAAAGTTTGACATGGAGTCTTGTGCACAAAATGCATCAGAATCTTGCTTATACAATTTGTAATAAAAATTATTTAACTCCCAAAGAAAATCAGGTTTATCGTCAACATGTACAGACTTTCAGCAGTTTGCATTGAACAAATCAAACAAAACCAACTAAAACAGCTCAACACAACTAATGCTTCAAGGGGTTTCCCCAAATTCTACTTAAAATGCAACTTATAATGACTTCTCCAGTCTCAGAATTATTCCACCCCTTCATGGCGAGCATCTTTAGTACTTAGTAGATCACCCTTTTGCTGTTATGACCTGCTGCAAACAAGATGCATAGTCAGACACCAACATCTGACAGCATTCCTGAGGAATCTTACCCCATTGCTCACCAGTAATCGCCTCTAGTTCAGTAATATTCTTTGTTTTGTGTGCTGCAACCACTTCTTCAAATCCCACCAGAGACTTTCTATGGTTCAAGTCAGGTGACAGTGATGGCCACTGTAGAATTGTCCAAGACTTCTTCTGCAACAAAGCCTTGGTTGAATTTGCCTTGTTGGAATTGTCTTGTTGGAAGGTCCAATGATGCCCAAGCTTCATCCTCCTCACAGAGTGCAAGATGCTTTCTCCTAGGATTTCCTCATACTTTAAGGATGGATATCTTGCCTTCCACACGCTGCAGGTTATCAGTACCACAGGATGCAAAGTAGCCCCAGAGCATCACCGAGTAACCACCATGCTTAACTGTAGGCAAAATCTTTTTTTCAGCATATGCTTCAATCTTCTTCTTCCAGATATTAGAGCTGACTTTTCTTGTGCTTTTGAGTTAGTAGGTGTATACGTCTTGGAGTTCTGGCATGAAAACCTTCTACGTTTAGTAAGCGCCTTACTGTGATCACTGAAACCTCAGGGTCTGTTGCCACTAAGTCTTGCTGCAGGTCTTTTGCAGTCACTCAATGGTTTTTCGCAACCTGCCTTCACAGAAATCTGGTTGCCGCCATTGATTGCTTCCTTTTTCTGCACTTCCAGGTAGTGTAACCACTGTTCCTTTAACTTTAAACTTGCAAATTATGCTTCCAACAGTGTTTCTAGGAACATTCTGTGCCTTTAGGGGGCCCGGAACTACTCTGGCAGTCCAAACCCCATATTCCTTATGTGCACATACTGTATATATAGCGATTCTCGCTATATATATGTGTATTGCGGGCCCCCTGATACGTGTAACTGCAGAGGGTGGCCCTGCAGCACACTCTGTCTTCTCTTTCCAGCTTCTCTCTGTCTAACTTTCCTAAGCCCAGCAGCCGTCAGAGCATTGCCATGGGTTACCATGGCAACGCTCTGCACAGCACGCAGGCCGGTCTTGCGAGAGTTAGTCTGAGTGGCACTGGAAAGTGAACACAGAGTGTGCTGCTGGATTACCCTCTGCAATGTACAGTGGCTCCCTACACCATGCCACTGGATCACCAGGGAATGCGATCTCCCCATCTCTGGCCAGGTAAGAAGCATGGAGGGGAGAATAAAATAGAAATATACACAAATTAATGTAAAAAAATGCTTTCCCTACTATTTTACAAACACACTGCATCCTTACAAGCACACACTCTGCACTCACTACACACACACACACACACACTAAATGCACTATACACACTTTACATTCACTACAAACACACTACATTAACTATACACACTCTGCACAGTGTCAGGATGGCCGAGCGGTCTAAGGCGCCAGACTCAAGATCAACTTCTTCCACAATATTGGTGTTCTGGTCTCCACATTGTATTAGATCCAAAAAAATGGCTACTATGTCCATTCATTTTATTTAATCCCATATCAAATTATTATACACTAAAGATCACCTATCATTGTTGCTGACACAATTTTTTTGATGTTTTCATTTAAGACATGGCTGTTTATTCCTTACAACTAATAATAAGCATCTATATACAATATGTTAATATATTTGCCACACTTGACTAATATAGTCACTAAATTATGCATATGTATTAGTCTCATTGTTAGATTTACTGATTGTTTTCCGCCAAGTTTTTGTGCTTGGAACGCAACGTACGCCTCTATTGACGTTGCTTGCGTTCGAGCAAATTACACATGACCACCAAGGATTGGATTAAGCCGCATCATTTCCGGGTATGACATGTGCGGTCCATAGTGGAACACATGGACGCGCCGATTATACTCACCCTTCACCTCGCTGCATCACTTGGTAGCGATCTTCAATCAAGTTGGACACTTATATATATTAGATACCTGCAGGACTGTTCCACACTTTTGATAAAGCCTCTGGAGAGGCGAAACGCGTCAAGTGGGACTTGTTTGAGGACTTTGTACCTTATTATTATTTTATTAGTGTACTTTTTATGCTTTTTACAATAAATAGTTATTTTTTTATAAAATAAATTTTTTGGTATCCTGTTCTGTATCCTGACTGCTACCTGGTTCTACTACATCCCTAGGTGGGGATAATACCACCCATGCTGGGATAACTAGAGCAGGCCTTTGCTCTGAAGATTGTAAGTAAATTAGTTCTTTATATTTTAACTCACAATACATACCACACTATCAGAGTTTCTCTCTGCTCTTTATTTTTACATATACCATCTACACATGCACTTGCATCTGGAGGACCAGCATCATCTACACCATCTTAGATCCTTAGACGGGGATTATACCGTCCATGCGCTACAAAGCAGAGCTCTTATATAGCTCTTCTAAATGTGAGTGGTTCTCCTACAACTATTAATTTAATATTTTTCACCTTGCCAAAATTGCATTACACTATTATTGTCTGATTTTTATTCTGAGGTCTTCAACCAGCCCTCCTCACTACAGTTGTATGTACGTATAATTCTGTAGAAAAAAACTTTACTACACTACACACTCTGCATTCACTACAAACACACTACAGTCACTATGCACACTCTGCGCTCACTACACACACTACATTCAATATACAGACTCTGCATTCACTACAAAAGTACTACATTCAGTATACACACTCTGCATTCACTACACTCACACTACATTCACTATACACACTCTGCACTCACTACACACACTACATTCACTACACACGCTGCATTCACTACAAAAACACTACACACACTCTGCATTTACTACATTCACTATACACACTCTGCAGTTCCTATGCAAACACTACATCCACTACAAAAACACAGACTCTGCAGTCATTATACAAACACACACTCTGCATTTACTATACACACACTACATTCACTACACACACACACTGCATCCAACGCGGACTCAGGGCAGTCCGTGTGAGTGGACTCAAGGTCAGGCAACTGGGGCTTAGACCTTGAACTGTGTTAGGGGCCCCAAAATTTCGCAGCCCGGAGTGCCTTCGCTATCTTTTTGTATCCTGTTCCTTGTTTGTGCTGGGCGATGATCTCTTCTATTAACTTTGTGGACCATTCTTATGACTTAGCCACATTTCTAACATGCAGCCAAACATGACACTCAACAAATCTCTAGCCAGTTCAGGTATTTCAAGCTATCTGCAACTAATGAAGTCCTTGGTGAGTTGCATCAGGTGTGCTTGATACAACACCTTTTTTGCATATTTGTGCTGTTGTAAGGGATTCTATTCAGGGAGTTGAATAATTTTGAGACTGGAGAAGTCATTATACGTTGCATTTGGGTAAACCAATTGAAGCATTCAATGTGTTGAGCTATTTCAGTTAGTTTTGTTTGATTTGTTCACTGCTGAAACTCTGTACATTTTGACAATAAACCTGATTTTAATAATTTTAATTACAACTGTAAGTCTCCCTGTTTTCCTAGCCTTTGAGGATACATTTTTTTTTTTTAACAATATATGATTGACTCATTTTTTTTATTCATTATCTTTAGTTGGAAATTGGTGTTTTCACCATCACTACAGGAACCAAGTATGGGCTAGATGCAGTCTTGTCACTACTTTATACTGCTGCTTCTCACTAAAATTAATCATGCTGCTGTCAGTGCGTAGTGACAGGGGTGCTATAGTTAATAGAACAACTACAGCTTAATGTAGTTGTTATGGTGACTATGGCCAGTCCCTGCAGGCTTTCTAATGTAAACACTGCCTTTTCAGAGAAAAGACAATGTTTACATTAATGCTTAGGGATAACTCTTGTGGCAGTCACTCAAATGGCAACTAGAGGTTGCTTCCTGAGTCACTACTGCACAGCGTGGAGATCGTGAAGATGCCGAGCACTCCCCATAGAGATGCATTGATTCAATGCATCTTTATGAGGAGATGCTGATTGGTGCAGCGCAGCGTTTTGCTGCACATGTGTGATAGCCTCCTAATGCTTTCCTATGGGAAAGCATTGGATTGGTTGAGATCAAGTTTAATGAGAAGAAGAGGACAAGCTCTTAACCCTAGGGTATGAATGGTTAGATATTTAAAACGTAACTCTTAATGTAGTAAATAATTAAGAGTATATATATATATATATGTAAGTAAATATATATATACACCCTGTTCCAAATTATTATGCAAATTATATTTTTCTCATTTACCTAAATAATTGATGTAAATAACAGTCAGCATAATTCTCATGTTATCAACTATTAAGAGTACAATTCAGATTTTATTGAACAACCCTAATGTTGGTGAACTGCTGCTCACCCCTGAGAAGAGAGCGCTTATTATTCTTTTGCACCTAATGATAACAGTATTTGTTTTTTAACATCAAAAACTTACAATGCACTGTTCCAAATTATTACGCGCAGTACGTTTCAAAACACTTTATAGGTTGTAAAGAACTGAAAATTGTAATTTGTTGTGTTTGCAGCATATTTACTGAAATCAAAAGCTATTTCAATAAAACTTATAACAACATTTTAACTTTTTAAACATTTTAACAGGTCACGTCACATAGGACCCCTTATTTGATGTCAGCTTCACACGTCTTGCATCCATTGAACTTGTGAGTTTTTGGACAGTTTCTGCTTTAATTTGTTTGCAGGATGTCAGAATAGCCTCTCAGAGCTGCTGTTTGGATGTAAACTGCCTCCCACCCTCATAGAGCTTTTGCTTGAGGATGCTCCAAAGGTTCTCTACAGGATTGAGGTCAGGGGAGGATGGAAGCCACACCAAGACTTTCTCTCCTTTTATCCCCATAGCAGCCTTTGATGCAGAGGTATTCTTTGCAGCATGAGATGGTGCATTGTCATGCATGAAGATGATTTTATTACGAAAAGCATAGTTCTTCCTTCTGTATCAGGGAAGAAAGTGGTCAGTCAGAAACTCCACATACTTTGCAGAGGTCATCTTTACATCTTTGGGGACCCTAAAGGGGCCGATCAGCTCTCTTCCCATGATTCCGGCCCAAAACATGACTCCACCACCGCCTTGCTGACGTCGCAGCCTTGTTGGAACAGGGTGGCTGTCCACCAACCATCAACTACTACATCCATCTGGACCATCCAAGGTTGCACGGCACTCATCAGTGAACAGGACTGTTTGAAAATTAGTCTTCATGTATTTTTCTGCTCAATGCATCCATTTCTGCTTGTGAGCATTGGTTATTGGTTGCTGAATAGAAGGTTTTTGCAGAGTTGCAAGACTCTGGAGGACTCTACACCTTGATGTTCGTTTGACTCCAGAGGCACCAGCAGCTTCAAATATCTGTTTGCTGCTATGTAATGTTATTTTAGCAACTGCTCTCTTGATCTGATGCATGGATCTGGCAGAAATCTTCTTCAATGTGCCTTTATCTGCACGAACCTGTCTGTGCTCTGAATCAGCCACAAATCTCTTAATAGTGCGATGATCACGCTTAAGTTTTCATGAAATATCTAATGTTTTCATACCTCGTCCAAGGCATTTAACTATTTCACTCTTTTTGGCAGCAGAGAGATCCTTTTTCTTCCCCATATTGCATGAAAATGGTGCTCTGCTTAATAATGTGGAACACCCTACTTTAGTAGTATTTCCTTAAATTGGGCTCACCTGGCAATCTAATTATCACAGGTGTCCGAGATTGTTTTCAGTGATCAAAAGAACCCTGAGACACAATGCCATCCATGAGTTAAACTGAAAAACAAAATATTTGGAACAGGGTGTATATAATAATAAATAATAAATAATAAATTATTTTCTCACCCCTCCTGGGTGGTATGTTTATTCCTAATTTTCGGTTCCCAGAGGCCTGGGAGTTTGAGGGTTCTGCGTAGTATCTTAGCTGTTCCTAAAACTGCACTCTTCTGGACAGCAATCTCAGATGTCCCACCTGGAATCTGTTGAAGCCAGTTCCCCAACTTGGGAGTCACAGCCCCGAGGGCTCCTATCACAACTGGGACTAATACTGCCTTCACTTTCCACATCCTTTCTAGTTCTTCTTTCAGTCATTGGTCCACCTTCTCATATTCCTTCTTCCTGATGTTATAGTCACTGGGTATTGCCACATTCTCCATGACTGCAGTCTTTCATTTCTTGCCTACCAGCACAATGTCTGGTTGGTTGGCTACGCACTTGCTTGTCTGTCTGGATCTTGAGGTCCCACAGAATCTTAGCCCTGTCATTCTCAACTACCCTTTGTGGTATCTCCCATCTAGACTTAGGCAGATCCAATCCATATTCTGTGCAGATGTTTCGGTACACAATCCCAGCAACTTGGTTGTGTCTCTCCGTGTATGCTGTTCCTGCTAACATCTTACATCCGGCTACTAGGTGCTGGACTGTCTCAGAGGCCTCTTTGCACAGTCTGCACATTGCCTGGTGTGGTAGACTTCAGCTTCTATTGATCTGGTGCTGAGTGCCTGCTACTGTGCTGCTAGGATTAGTGCCTCAGTGCTGTCTTTAGTCCTGCCTTTTCTAACCATTGGTAGGATTTTGTCATGTGACCCACATCTTCTATCTGACAGTGGTACACCCCATGGAGAGGTTTGTTTTGCCAAGGAACCTCCTCTTTTTCTGCATCCTTGATCTGTGGAAGTCTCAGGCATTCCCTTAGCAGTTCATCTTTGGGGGCCATCTTCGTGATGTACTTGTGATGCTCTGTGTTTCATCCAGGACTGTGACCTTGACACTCGACGGACCAGTGCTGAAGAATGCAGTGCAAGGAAGTTTACTGAGATACATGTACTGCTTGCATGCCGGTTACATCAAACTGTCAGTAAAAAATCTGGAGACTGACCATGGGTGAATGGTGGAGCCCCGATGTGCGTTTTGCCAGTTGGGCGGCTTTTCTCCATGAGGTACATGTATCTCAGTAGATTTCTGTGCACTGTATTCTTCAGCAGCGGTCAGACCCAGGTGTATTGATCTTCCAAGGCATTCTGCTCTGCATAGATAGCTAGATTTACCTTTTTCCCTACACAGATGCCCTTTAAGGCACAGGTTAGTAAATCCTTCTAGCAGAATTACCTTCCCGCCTTTTTGACATTATCATTTACTTTGTTATGGTGATTTTGATTGGCATTACGCACAAGTGACAGTTAGACCTAGTCTGCAGATTCTAGCATAGGTACCCATGAAGGCACAGATTAGTATTGTACAACACTACAAGGAGGAGCACAACCAAATAAAATGCAAAAAAGATTTATTACACAAAAAAACACATGTATAACAGGTATCAACATAGATATCAAAGAATTAGAAATGTAGAAACATCTCTGTCCAATATGCTAACAATGACTGCAAGTAAAGCAAAATAGAAAAAAATGATTATAATCAAAATGATCCAATAGAAGTGGTGTAGCCACTTATCCAGAAAGACAGTATTATGATACCTGTATATACTGATAAACAAAAAGATACATACCAAAGAAAACAGGAAATATGAAAAGAGGGTACAGACGTCAAAATACAAAAAATAGCCCCCAACGTTTTGGCGTTATCCACCTTTATCAAGGCTTTACTTGCTTACTCTTTACCAACAGTCCTCTTTAGGACTTAACTCCTCACAACTTCTAGTAGCCGCTGCACTGTTACTTTATTTATACTTGCCAAGGGTTCCCCCTGGCATAGTAAAGCATTCTGATGATGCTTGCTACATATCGCTCTGATTCTGCACTAGATTACTATCTTCTATTATTGGTGTCATACAGTTCAGTTTGCTACTATCCCCCTCAACACATCCCAGAGTAAACCTTAGTAAATATATATATTATGTATGTATATAGTTTGACTCTTCACGTTTTCTTTTTTTGTAACACTGTATATGTTGTTAATAGATGACCAAGTATCTCTCTTTTTTCTGACTGTCTATATCTCCTGGCATGGTCATAATTTGTCTCCATCTAGTGGCCATACAATATATATGTTGTTTTTTTTTTGTATATATATATATATATATATATATATATATATATATTTTCTTTATTATTTACTACATTAAAAGTTACATTTTAAATATGTAACCATTCATATTCTAGGATTAGAGCTTGTCCTCTTTTTCTCAATTACTTACCAGGGTTCATGCCCTGCTTGTCCAGCCCTTAAGATTCTTTCACTATTCCCCCCCCCCCCCTTGTCCATCAAGTTTAATGATTTCAGCCAAGAGGGTGGGGAGTGGGTGGAGCCTGCCACAACAGATCTGCGCTGCACTGAAAACAAAATAAGTAAAATCACTTTTTTTAGGTTGGGGGGAGGGCAGGGGACCAAAATGTTATTTAGAACTATAGTGTCAGGAATACACGCTTGTATTCCTGACACTATAGTGTTCCTTTAAGTGCATGTCAAAGCATATTAAACCATATCAAAAAGCAATATAATTAAAGAAATTATCTGCTAAGTGTACATGGCCAGCCTGCTGTGTTCCTCAGTGCATCTACTATCAATTCCCGTCGAAAGCATAAAACTATGTTAATTTTTGCTATTTATACCCACTTTAAGGGACACCTTACTTACCATTTTTGACAAGCTACCTCAATGTCCCACTTACCTGGAGTCTGCTAGGCTCTCACTGCCACCTCCTCTCAAGATGCACTAAGTTAAGTCTGGTTGTAAAGGGATCCACTCAATGGCTATGAGTGCTATGGTGACACTCTGAGCCAATTAGCTGGACCTTAATACAGGAACTTTTGGATAATTACTGGTTTAGGCCAATGGTATGACTACTTACCATGAGAGGGTGAAAAGGCACTTCTGGCACCATAACCACTACCGTGGGCTTGGAATTTTCCTTTAAGGCAATTTCACATGCAAGAGCCCTTCAGTAGTGCTCTGTGAATATCCAACTCTTGGATGAATTGGCCACCAGAGTAACAAGTTTGATTGGTACATATAAATATAAAAGACAGACTGAAACCCACATCTGGGTGTGTGTCAGTAAAAGATGACACAATTTGCATCATTTTGCAGTAAGTGTATTTACATCAAGTAGGGGTCGCAGATATGTTTGAATTTATTTTCTACTTTTATGTAAATTGGCAAGAGATGGTGATCAGATACAATATATATATATATATATATATTTGTGTTAAGGGCTCATGATAGTACAGAAGATACAAACACTGATAAGTGTGGGATAGTGTGAAAGAGCAAGTCGGTTGTGGTGTGCCGGAACCGACGATGAGGTAGGCCTGCAAATAAAGAGGGCCCACCAATAAGAAATGTATGAGAAAAAGGAGTTAATAAAAGAGGAGTGGGTGGGAGGGTGATGCAGCGCTGACCTCGAACGGTATGGAGCCAGGTAAGGGGTGTCCCTTAAGTAGGGAGAAGGTGAGTCATACGCCCCTCCCACAATTACAGGCCAAAAGGCCTTAATACTTGTGTTAAGGGCTCATTATAGTACAGAAGATACAAACACTGATAAGTGTGGGATAGTGTGAAAGAGCAAGTCGGTTGTGGTGTGCCGGAACCGACGATGAGGTAGGCCTGCAAATAAAGAGGGCAAAAAGTAGAAAATATACTTTATTACGAAACGAGCAGTATACATACTTCAACCAGACATATCTTGAAAGGCATTTCTAACTTCTTGTACCGGGTTAGGTATGTATCTAGAGTATGCAGAAGACTTCCAGCGCCCTAGTGACTTGATAACATGTACTGGAATGTTTGCACTGGACGCTGTGGAGGCCGCCCCTATGCGGAAGGAGTGGCCCGAATAGTTAGCTGATTTTAGGCCTAGTTGTGTAAGTAGGGACCTGACGTGGGTCATGAAGGTGGTGGTAGTGAGTACCGAACCTTGTAGACAGAAAAGTGGTTGAGATGGTGATGCTTTGAAATGCTGAGTATAGGTGTCCAGTAATGTGACGGGGCACCACACGTTGTGGGTAGGATAGTATCTAACCTCTACCGGGGGTGCGTGTTGATTGGTTTTGGAGTGATGCAGAGCTAAAATATAGTAATCCATGTGTTTCGTTAAGTGTGAATGAAGCAGAATGTGAGTGGACTGGGATGTGTTGATGGCGGTAAATTCTCTTGGTCTCAAGAAACCATAAAAAGCTACGTATATGGCGGTTTTATAACAAGGTTTGTGTTGTTCGCAAAGGGTTTTGAATCTAGTAGGCTGGATAAATCCTTGAAGATATTGAAGTCTATAGGTAGCCTTTGCGCGGTACGTGGGGGTTCGGATCTCTGGATACCTCTAAGGATGTTTTTTATCTGGTAGGAGGACATGAAACTTGTGTTGTTTGGTTGTAATGTTAGCATGTGATGTTGTATGCCTGTCAGATATAGCTTGATGTGTTGTAAGATAATTTAAGTTTGAGGTGGCAAAAAGAAGCAAAACCTAACAAAGATGTCATGATGAAAGGTTGTGTGACGTTGTGCAGTGACAGGAATCTTTTAAGTAGAAGGAAAGCCCTGTCATATGTTCTCCGGGTATTGGTGGACAGTGCTAATTGTGCCAATGTCCTGCTATGTTGCATAATAGCTTCTAGTCCATGACTAGCTGGTGGAAAGGTGGAGTGGTCGTGGCTGTACGTGCGGCTGACGGAAGTATTTGCCGAAAAGCCTGAAAATTGAAACGAGACAAATTGTCAGCAGCCGTGTTACAAACACCTGGGACATGGACACAAAACAAGAAGAAATTATGGCATGCAGCCAGCCAGGTGAGTTTCCTCAAGAACCTCATAATGGTCAGTGACTTGGATCGGCCTTTGTTTATGATGTGGCAGGTAGCTTGGTTGTCTGAGTGGCAACGTACTGACGAACCTGCCCATAGATGCCCCCATGTCACGGCAGCTGCCACAATGGGATACATCTCAAATAGAGCTGAGGTAGTGGAAAACCCTTCCAGGTCCTGTACCTCTGGAGGCCAGCTACCCCAAAGCCATTCATTCCCGTAAATTGCTGCAAAACCTGTGGTAGCCGCCGCGTCTGACCAGATGGTAGGTGAGGAGTCAGACAATTTAGGGAGAAACATGCTTTTCCCATTCCAGGTGGTCAAAAAGTTTCTCCACATAAGTAGGTCTGCCGTGGCTTGGGTATCCAGTGGTAACCTGTGTGCATCATGTCTAAACAGTGGGAACATGGTTAGGAGCCGTGAGATGAAAGCCCGGCCTTGAGGTATAATGCGCATGGCAAAGTTCAGTGACCCAAGTAGAGACTGCAATTCTTTGCGATTGCAAGTACCGAGGTGTATGTAGAGGTTAATGTTGGTGAGAATGTTCTCTATCTTGGTGCGTGGCAGGCTGGCTTGCATGGTGGCTGAGTCTAGCATGATTCCCAGAAAGGTGATGACTGTATCTGGTCCTTCAGTTTTGGTGGGGGAGACTGGAACACCCACCTGTTTAAAAAGACTGATGGTTTCTATGAGGCTACTGGGAGGGGAAGTGTTCTCTTCGATCAGTAAGAAATCATCCAGGTAGTGTATAACTGTAGGGCATCTGGCTACATTTAATAATAACCAGCATAATGTTTCGGCGAATACGTCGAAAATGGCCGGACTACTTTTTGAACCAAACGTTAGGCGTGAGAAAAAGTAGTAGTGCCCGGCCCACTTAATGCCATGCAGGTGCCATAGTGTAGGGTGGATAGGCAATAATTTGAAGGCATTTGTAATGTCAGTCTTGCTGAGCCATGCTCCGACCCCTGCCTGCATGATAGCTGTAATGGCGTGATCTATGGTGGAGTATTGAAGTGAAAATTCCTCAGAGGGGATAAGGGAGTTCAGACTAGGTGAGGCAGAGGTGTGAGGTGCAGACAGATCGATGATAAGTCTTTGTTTGTGGGAAGATTTCCCTGTGACAATACCGATGGGGTTTGTCCGCCATGTGGAAAAAGGAGGGGACTGAAAGGGTCCCAATAGGAAGCCCTCTGCCACTTCTTTGGCTATGAGTGTGCTAACCGCTGTAGGGTTTTGTTGTGCAGATTGTAAATTAGGACATTCAAGGATTCCTGAAGGCATGTGTATGAGACCAGTATGGAATCCTTGTGATAGACCAGTGATGATGAAGTCTACCAAATGTCTAGATGGATGTCGTGACAGTAATGCCGTGAGTACAGAAATATTTATCTCAGTTAAGTATTGCTTAGGGTACATTTTATTTGGACACATGGTTTTCGCATGTGCCCTAAAACATTTTGAACATATATGCAATAACCGACAACCGCTGTAATTACATGCACCGACATTGAAATTATTACATATTTGGGACTTCCCCAAAAACTTGATAGGTCGACCCAGTTTGTCTTTGGGTGTTCTCTCTGCTGACACAGCGGAGCTAGTGCCCTGCGAGGTGGTAGGTTCGTTCGCAGTGGTCGGACAAAAATTGGCAGTATGAGCCATGGAGGAGCAGTGTGCACAGGCCGGTGCTCTTAGACCTGCAAAGTGCCTGCAAAATATGATCGTATCAATCTTACTCCAGTTGGACCTTGTCCCGTACTGTGAGAAGGCGCCAGACACTTTGGCAGAAAAGGATCTATGGTAGTCATAGAAAGCTGACCCACCATATTTGTTGCCCAGATCAACCAGCCTGTGCATATATAAGTCAAACTCCTCACGTCTGTGGGGATATACCGTACAGACCACATCCCGATAAATGCCAAAAGCTAATACAAATTCTGGAATGGTTAGCTTCCTATTTAATCGTGCATCCCTGGATTTGACCACCACAGAAATATCGTCATAAGCGTAGGTCTTATGTTCCACTATATCCTGGGAGGCAATTAGTAGTGAGGCCAGATTGACATCTTTACCTTCCAGGATATCTCTCCTGAGGTGCTCAGGAATCATGTGGGCAGGGTAAACTTCTTGGTCATCCGAGGTGATAGCTGGAGAAACTGATTGCGACTCCACCACTGATGGGGGAATTGCCGTGGCCGGTCCAGCCATAGTGAGGGCTGTAGTGACCGATTCAAGTTTCTCCAGCCTAGAATTGACCTTGCTCATGGATGTCATGAGGGACGTGAGCATGTCATGTATGTTTCCTGGGTGGGACTGGCTCGACCCTTCCCCAGCGTCCATGTTATCGGTTGAGGTGTGTAATAATTTGTAAAGTTCCGCTTTCCTTGCTGTTGCTGGAAAAGGGATTTGTCGTCTCCTGAGTTCGCTAGTGATACGAGGGATAGTCCATGATCTGAAAGATGCTGGACTAGCCGTATCTTCCTCCTGTGATGGGATGTTTGTTCTAGCCGGAGTCCTTGGGATGGAGAAATCCTCTATCCCTTCTTGAGACATACTAGATTACAAAGTATATGGTTAGCGTAAAAAACCCCCGAGGGGATGTACTGGCAGGCTAATTATGCCGGATGAGGCGAAAAAATTAAACTTGTTCTTTGGTGACAGGTGAGGCCCTGCTAGTTGCCAAGTGGCTATGAGAGGCTCTATCTATGCGTTGGCGCGAGGGGTTATTGAGGCCACCCGACGTAGTGGCAGGAATTCGTAGGCCTCTCGGTGACAATACAAGAAAACAGGGGAAGGGAGTGACAGGTGGCACCCTCTCTATAATGCGAGGCGGCTAACTCACGTGTGGCCCGGGGGGCATTACCTCCGAAACGTTGAGGCGGGGTGTTGGCCTCGCGGACCACTAAACGATAGGCAGAATGCCCGGAGGGGGGATACCTATTTGGGCCTATAACCCCTAAAATTGCCAGTACTCTATGTCCTAAGTAGAGGAGGAGCCATATGTGATGTATGGCGTGAGCAGGCTTAACGTACCTGGTAGTATGTATGCGTTTGATAAGCGATAGGTAGAGAAAACTGGAAAAACCTAAAGGGATAGAAAAACCAAATATGATAGTGTGAGAATTGGATCCTATGATACCAATTTAGACTAGTTAGTTGTGATGAGTTCTAGTAGTACATATGGAAGGGGAATACATGAATGATATTGGCCCGACTGGCCCTGTATGTGGTATGGTAATCATGCTTGGGGGTGTGTATGATATGTCTCTTATGGTGACAAGATTAATGTGTATGATATAGTAATGCTAGTGTTTGTAGTATAATAAGGTGCAGGATTTAAAACAATACCGTATATGTTAGGCCGTAAACGTAAGCCATGAAAAGAGGTAAGTACGAGGTACAGGAATATTTGAGAAATTATCCCAAATTAGGAAACAACGTGACGTATGAGTGGTTGAATCAAGACGTGTGATTCAACCCGAAAGTTTGTGAGATTTTATGAGACCGTGTTCTTGTGTACTTGGTATGTCGTTTGAGTACACAAAGAAAAAGTCAGAATATATAAGTGCCATGTAAGAAACGTGAGTACATGGTATGATAGAAACGTAATTTCTAAACATAATTTATAACGTAAATCCTACAAGAGATATCTGTAAAATGTAAAAGCTTGTCTAAGCTTAACTCCATAAATATATGTATATAACATGAAGAATTTCAATAAAACTTTAATAATGCCATATCTGCTAAAAGATTGAACCATAACCTAAATAAATACTTATTTATAAGTAGTTAACAGGGGTATTGCCCCAGTCATATGCAAGGATTTCGTAATTTGCATAAAATAAATAACAGTAATAACATGAAACCAACTATAGCTGCTGATATGCAGAACAAGTTTGCTTAATACAAGAAAAACCGAAACCGATATGCCTGCCGGCAGCAAAGGGGTTAATATGCCTGTGACTTGGCCGTAAAGCGTGTGGCCGTAAAGTAAGGCCGTTTTAAATCGCGACGCCGTGGGAAATGATCCGGGCGACGGACTTACGATTTTGAAGTCCTGTGGACTTAATCTGCGACGAAAACACCGGGTATGTGCGTGGCTGAACGGGCGGAAAACCTGTAAGGATTCCTGGACACAGCTACACCAAACGAAAACCGCGGGTTTTGAAAAGCAAGATGGCGCCGTACGTGAACCGGAAGTGGATTCTCGATGCAGCGCTGACCTCGAACGGTATGGAGCCAGGTAAGGGGTGTCCCTTAAGTAGGGAGAAGGTGAGTCATACGCCCCTCCCACAATTACAGGCCAAAAGGCCTTAATACATATATATATATATATATATATATATATATATATATATATATATACATATGACTTATACAGCTTGTACACTTGTACAGTGGGTCACTACAACATATTTTCAAAGTGAACTATAATGTAATACGGGTATCTAGTGACTATGATTGGAATAATTTGATAATGGTTCTGAATTTAAAAAAAATGCTTACACAGAATAACAATTGAAAGATAACCAACGTTTATAGAACACAATTAGCTTACAGAGTAACTTTAGGTCAGAAGTTGCAAAGTTTTAATGAATTATTTAGTTAATGCATAACAATTTCTCTAATTAACCCAGCTGGTTCTAATCCACAGGCAAGCAGCAGGCAGCAGAGAGACTCTCCCAGACCAGGAAGATGCTTCACCAATCAGAAGCCTTCCATTGTTGTCCATGCGGTTTATAGGATATCCAATTCAATTGGAAACACCACTGAGGGTGGTGCATTGGGTTTGACCATCTGGATCATTCTAAATGTTAGCTACTAGTTGTGTTAATCAATTACTCAGTCTTTTTAATATTGCATGCATGTTGGTGAATTAATACATTTAATAGTCAAAATATTTAAATAATCCATGAACCAAGTCTACTATTTTACACAATTCTAAGTTTAGATTAACATAAAAAGTACTTACTCCTAGGGCTTCAGGTTGTCCTTGAAAAAATTTTGTGAGTGGTAGAGCTGCCTTCTTTTTCTGAACGCCTTCTGTTACGTCTGCTGGGTTCATTTGATGGGTCAATTGAGAAATAATGGCAACATCACTTGCTTTTATCTCTGCTGACGCCATGCTTTTACACCTTTTCCATGAAAACACAGGAAGCAGTCATCAAACTAACATTGATATATGTTACATTTTACTCACTTGTTGCATTTTTTCCCTTTGGGTTATCAATTGAGTTTTTAACTATATGTTCAAATTTAGTTAATTCTCACTTTACATGTTTATCAAAGTGCATTGTACATGCTGCCCAGTTTCTAGAAATGGCCCCATCCCATAGGAAATAACTAGGGATGACATAGTTTTTCCCTGCCCCCACCCATGGTCAATAGGTGGGGGCTAGTATACTATGCATTGGGGAGGATCTAGTGTCCCCTAAGGTCTCCCATCCATGAGCAGCAGATGGGGGCCCTAATTATAGTCTTGAAACTTGTCTGTCAGAGAGCTCTGGTTGTTTGGCTTACATGCCAACCAATCAGATCTCCCTTGCTCATATTGAAAAACCTGAGAAATTTTACCATGCTTTGCAATATTTCACATTGTGTGGGAAGGCTCTCCCCACTATCAGACCTCAGTAAGTTTAATTCCCACTACTCCCTATTATTGGGGGTGAGAGGATAGGTAATTGGGATTCAAGTGGGAGTACGGGGGGTGACAATGGCATGTCATCCCCCTAATTGTTTTTTAATTCAGGGCCCTGACCCACCTGTTATGGGAGTGGGCTGGGGGGAACATTAGGTCCTTCCCCTATTAATATTAGAAACCTGATCCACAGCCTTTCTATTATAAATGGGCCCCCCACCCACAGCTAATGGCGCACTAGGTCATCTCTATGAATGGCATAATTTCCCCACTTGCAGACCATGAGTCGGGCCGGAAGAGGCATAAGCATGTTCCCCCTGATTATCTGGTCTTTTACCCCCCTCCCAATGACCACCAGTGGGGGCATTGGGTGGGAGCTATGTCCTTCCCCCACGTCATGTCCCAGGCTACTTCCCCATTAAATGGGTCTTTTTCTAGTGACTGGACAGTCTTTTTGAGCCCAGTATGATTTTTATTTGTTTAGTTATTATTATTTTTTAAGACTTTTTAATGTTGCAGGTGGCAAGCAAGTGCTGGGCAGCTACCACATAATTAACCTTGGGGCCTTGAGGGTTTTAAGTATTTGCCCGCAGGCAATTAGTTCAGATTTCTTTCTAAATCAGGACCCAGATTTGAAATCTCAGAGCACAGATTTAATATATTATGTTTATGGTCTGAATTGCAACATCAGGACCTTGCTAAATTGTGAACAGCATCAAGATTTTGCAGTCCAAATGGCAACTTATGCAGATGGATGGTTTTGCCCCATTCAGAACAAGGCCATTTGGACTTCAGTGAATAATCCGTAATAGACTTGTGACGAGTGAAAAATTTGGAATTTCAGGTCAACAGAAATTAGTTCATGCCCTTGATTCAGCACCAAAAAATAATAATGGTAAAGTCATTTGGACAGCCAGAGCAGCAGGATTAATACTGCCTATGATGGTGCTTACATGCAAAAATTACTACAATTTTGTCTTGCTTAATGGTTACATAAAATCAGTCCTTTTTGCAATTGACAATGCTAAATTGACAAATGTAGATTATGATTAAAAATAGGAATTGAGAGAATATTTTTCCTTTTGCTATCTTGCATTAATGCATTAATAAAAAATTGGGATCAAAGAGGCATTTTAAGTAAAAAAAAAAAAATGTGATTTATCCAAAAATGAAAGGAAAAGTAGTATTGGAAACTAACCACTCAGTCCCCTTTTCCACCCTAACAAAATCTAAGTTTTCCAATACATCTAGTGTCAGGTTTCAAAACTGACATGTAAGACTTTTTCGTTTATTACTGGCCCTTTAAGTGAACTTCATGATTTTCTCCTCTAGTGGCCTCCCTAACCACTGATCTATTTACTCACCTTAATAACCTCACCTGGATTAACTAATTAGGAGGCTTGATAAGTCTACTCCTGGCACACAACAGGGCCTTGACATTGAAGTCTATGCTCTGATAATGAAGTCTATACTCTGATAGAAAATCTCTGTTCCTGGTAATATCCTGTATTTTATCTACATGATTTCATTCTGTAGAGAACTTACCTGCAGTGCCTCATCCTGTCCTCATCTGCATTTCCTCATACTGAAAGGCACTAACCTGCATTACTTCATCCTGTACTTGCCTGAATTACATCAAGACTTTCCTTATCAGTTTCCAAGAATCCTGATTTGTGGCGTAATGCCTTCATTGAAGAATCTTAACTGCTTCAATTGCTGCACCACTGCATGATCTCGTAAGCAACCTGCATTATATTATTTTGGAATATACCTACCTGTTTCAACCTCTGCAACTCTGCATGATCCTGTATTGCTTTATCCTAAAAGGTATTTACCTATAACTAGCTGCATTGCAAAGTATCCTGGAAATCCTTAACTACTTGGTATAACTTCAAGATTGCTTGTATACAAAATACTTTATTCATTTACTTTCTAAAGATCTTGTTTGTAGCATATCGCCTAAACCCTGTATTTTCTCCCAAAGTATCCTGTTTGTGGCAGACTGCCCTTTATTTTATTTTTTTTATTTATTTTTTTTTTTCAGTAAATTTGTTCTAATACAACAAAGTTTTAACCAATAACCCTTGCAATTGTCTCCTCTCTGACCTGCTCAGGAGCATGACATCTAGTCTGTAGCATCAGACAGCGACATCCTTCACTGTGAAAAAAGCAGTGCCCAATCATCTCATACCAACTGTGTCTGTGGTGGTAGCAGACACCACAAGGCTCAGCCAGGCTGTGCAAAACCACTACAAAGAAGATTTTAATTTTGTGTTAAATTTAAAATAAAACAAAAACATCTTACTAACAAAATTAAGAATGTATTGCCCACAAAAGGGATTTACAAATTAACACTTACAAGGCATAGCTTAAAATTAGATTGTTTCTGTAGAAATTGTGTTTGAACAAATGAAACAGGCTGCAGTTTTAATGCTCAACCTGATGGAAGAAGCCTAGTCGAGCCAATTCCTCCCATAAGTTGGGGTGGGTATAGGTTCTCACAGAAGAAAATAAACCATGCAAACAATGCAAAAGAGGAGGCACACTTTTAAATGAGTGACACCTCTACTAAGGTTCTACTACGCAGATAAGGCAAGTTTCCAGTTGACTGTATATAGAAAGAAAACCTGAGCACAAACGCTGGCATCCTCAAGCAAAGTTCAAGCAACGTTCTGGCTTAACTACTGAGCATTCATCAAGCCTTTATATAGGATCAATAGCTGAGCTGAATCATTGCTCTACCTTGGCCCAAAATAAAGTCTGCTTACCAATACTGCTTTATGTTTTTATTTTCATACAAGAAGAGAAACCAAAAGTAATACAAGTCTAGGATGATCCAATCGTGAATTTCATATTGAGTTCATGACATCACATGGTCTTTGAAGATTGTGTACCATTTCTTAAATGTAATCTTGTCGTATTATGTGAAAGGTTTTGGATGCAATGAGCTTCTTTTGATGTCTAATTTGTACTTTACTTGAGTAAAAGTTCAATTAAAGTTGTACTTTTATCAGTCTTTCTTTCCCAACAGGTCACTCATTACAAACACCTCAATCATGATCGATTTCTTCTTCTGCTCTCCTTTGACAAACACAAAGCTGTTAATAAAACTATGGAGGCATTGTCCTTGCTTTGAAATATGTTTTAAATTATTTGACCCCGAAGAAGTCCCTTTATAGGTAAGAAGCACATTGGACCTTATTTTAGGTTTTAGCCTTTTATGTTTTTCAATAAATTATTGAGGATTTTTTTTTGTCAAAACATGTCTCTTCTTTGCTGAGACATGGAGCCCTGCAATAAACCAGGGGTTTAAGCTGCACAGCTCCCTTCCTCCCCCCTCCCCCCCCTGATATTGGGGGAGGCAAATACAGTCTACAATGCATCATTGTTAAATACAAATGACTAGTTTAAGTCAGACAGCATTGTTTAATGTTTGTGGAATATGCACTAATATTAGTTATACTATTTGTATTTTGCTGATATTTTTAGAATTTGCTTAAACAAAACATGTTCTATAAATGCCAATAAAGTGGGGTGTTTGATTATTTTTATTTATATATTAGGGACATCTACTTAAAAAAATATTTATATATAAAATCAATAAATACTAAAAATTCTGTACATATACATAATTTAGATAAGCAGATAACCATAAAAACAATATTTACCTAAACCTGCATATTTTTAGCCAAATTAGTTTTGCTTTAAAAAGATTATCCCTACACAAAATTGTATATACATGAATAAATTTCCATACCTCAAATTTTGTTTAAAAAATATGCTCTAAGCATAGTAAAGTAAGAATTGTTATGTATTAAAAGTGAATATAAAGTACATTTTAAATTTAAGGCCAATATAGGTAAACTGAAAAATATCTCCAAAGCTGTGATTTCAGCTTGGCTACTTTCCCCTAAATTTGAAATTCTCTTTAAATTCTTGACAATTCTTACTTTAGTGGATAACATTGTTTGCATACTGTAATCTTCTGGAGATTCTACTTGTACAAATAGCCTTATGACTTTGTTCATATCAGCATATGTCAGAGCTCTGGATACAGAGAGATGGTGTCTCATTTTTAAGTGAGAACAGCTTTTCCGAGTCCATTGCCTGGACAGATGTTAATAATACTATTCACGTTGCCAAAGCCGCTAGTGGGAACTTAATAATCAAGATGGACACAGACAGCTTGTATCTCTGTGTGCATCTGTAGGAAGCGAGAGTGTCTGTGGGGGAAAAAAAAGGGGAAACTGAGAAAAGCAAGGACAGTGTGAGAAAGAGAAAGTGAAGGTAGGACAAGAAAACAGAACATGAATGGAGAGAAGAGAAAACGTGGAGGAGAGAGGAGAGGGAGGAAGTTTGTGTCTGTGTGTAACTTCTTTATTTGATGTTAAAACATGTTCACGAACAAGAAGCAACAAAGACAACTTTACATTTACATGTTACTTACCACAAGACAGAAAGCTTCTTTTTTTGGTGATTAATATTTGGCAAATCTCTTGGCAGTGAAGCTACTGAAAAACAAATGATCCAACATTTGATGTTCTATACTCTGCTATAAGACATGTACGTGCAAAGCTTGTTGTTGTGGTTTTGTTTTTGTTTTGTTTTTGTTCTTTTTCCCTTCTTTTTACGCAACAGATTTCTATCAATTTATTACCCTGTGCTGCATAATCTGTCCAATTCTGCGAGCCGTAAATGTGCCGTGTCTTGCTATGATTGAGGAAGTGAAAATACTACCCTGTTCTACAAAAACAAATGGAATAAAATATTTTTTTTAAAGCAGGAAATAGTGTATCATGTGCTGGAATAGGGTTGAAGCCTATTAACCCCCTCACCACCAATAGGTTTGCAAAAAAAAGGACCTTCAGAATTTAGGGATATAAAAAAAAAGAAACAAAGTTAAATTTGAGACTCCTTTAGATTTTGCATCCTTATTCTTTCTTATTGTTCTTCTGCTGTTAGCGAAGATGCCTTTCTTCCAGTCTCAATAAACAACCTCGCCTGCTGTATATTTTTGATAATGAACAGTTTAGAACATAGAAGTTTCTACTGACTCTGTTTATATTTAGAAAGCACTATATCATATCTCCCCTGAGAAACTTTGTTGTAAAGAAAAGAAATGCAGTTTTTCTAGCACGTTTTTATAGTTCTATTATTTATATATATGGAAGGCGTGGCCTGAAGTTGTGGGAAGGGCTGGGTTACCCTTCTTAAGGGACTCCAGACCCTTCCCTCACTACCTGTTAGGTGCGACGGATTGCTGGGGAAGTATACGTCACTTCCGGTTTCGGACAGCAGTTTCCGGCGGGCTGGTGCGCGTTAGGTCGGGCAGTTTTTCGGAGGCATCCAGGATTACCTCCGGATACCACGGGTTGGTGCGCGCTAGGTCGGGCAATCGGCGGGCAAATTTTCACGCTGCAAATCTTAAGTTAAAACGGCCGTCGCAAATTTGGCGGCGCGGCCGTTTTACGTCATCACTAAGGGTCAATATGCTACACGCTCACAAAGTACCAGTATAATACAATGTTATACAACAACCTATTCACGTCTTGATACTTTGTCACTTTATAAGCACACTTATGCTTATTTCTCACGTTACTTTTATTCTTGTGTCCATTTCATTAAAACGCTGTTACTTAAAATCATACACTGGTATAAGCTCCAGAGCGACCTCTGGTGTCTAAAATTGTATTTAGAGTTTCTTGTACCTGTTCTGTCATTTATGCTATTTTAAGTTCATAAAGTTTGCAGTTATTTAAGCAAGTTTGTCATATGAGGTTACAACCAGTAATGTGTGCAGATACTTTTATGTTGGGCGCGTATTTTAATACAATTATTAGGCTGCTAGCCTAACAATGACTACGGATCATGGTATTGGGAATTTATATATATGCGTGATTAGTACTTAAGATGTCTTTTAAACTCTTTTCAGTATTTTCTCTGCATTTCCACGGTGGGCAGCTATTCTAACAACTTGCACAGGACTTAGGTCAGTTCACTCGAGTTATTTTCTACTTAACAGTCACCCTACGCCAGGGTCCTTATATGTGTTTTCTGTATTTTAGGTATAGGCATCCTTGCTCTTTTGTTAATTGGTGCCCAGCCCTCTGCTAGGGCAATATTGCTGGTAGGTATCTGAATAACAGGGGAGTTAGGGGTCATATTTCTGTGCCCGTTCAAATGTATATTACTTTCGTAGGTGACTACAGATCGTCTGTACCTCCTTTTCCTCATAATAGCTGTCAACCCGCTCATCAGGTACGTCATATCTTTTCGACTATTATTCCCCATACCTTCCCTTTCGGCTTAGTACAGATTTACTGGCTTACAATAAATAGGACCCACTAGCTACGTTTTCTGGCCTCTTATGCCTTACGTTAGTGGTCCCGCGAGGCCAACACCCATCCTCATTTCGGAGGTACGGCATCCCCTCGGGCCCATTCATAGCTAGCCGCCTCGCTTAGTTGCATAGAGAGGGCCTCACTTGTCACTCCCATTCTGTCTTATGCTGTTACAAATCACAGAGAGGCCTCCACCCCGCCATAATGCCAATGGCCACGTACTCCACACGAGCCAAATCATAGATAGCGCCTCTCATAGCCGCTTGGCTACTAGCAGGGCCTCACCTGTCACGTTACTTAATAATTCTTCGCCGCTTGGCATTAGTTATCATAAGCCAGTTGGATAGCACCCCAGGTAACATATCATTTTTATGTTATAGCATGTCCCAAGTTCCGGAAGGAAGGGAAGATGAGTCCTTACCCAGTACACCAGCTAGATCAGTCACTCCGTCTCGGGGTGACGACATCGCAAGCCCTGCCTCACTCAGGGCATGGACTATTCCCAGGATCACGCCGAATTAAGGAAGAGAAATATTCCTTTCCCTGCTACAGCTAGGAAAGCAGAACTGTACAGATTGCTGAACACACAGACTGATAACGCGGGGGCGGGTGAAGGGTCCAGTGGCACCCAGTCTTCAGAGCTGAATACGATTCTGTCCTCAGTTCTGACCTCTTTGGGGCGTATTACTGACAAGCTAGACAAAATGGATGCAGATAGCCAGCAAAAGTCACTGGCTGCTGCAGTGGATCCGGCCGCTTCGGTCCATTTGGACCCCCTACCGGGTAATTTACAACATAGGTTAAAAGACCCACATATTATTAACCCCGCACACATGGTGCCTGCTAAAACAAAGAAGGACATCTTGGAGGGGAAAGATATCAATTTGGTATCACTTTTGATAGCCTCACAAGATGTCCTAGAGAATAAGACCTACGCATACGGTGATGTATCAGTGGTATTGAAGTCCAGAGACCCCAGGTTAAATCAGAAACTATCAATACCAGAATTTGTACTGGCTTTCGGTATATACAGAGATGTAATATGCTCGGTATACCCGGATAGGAGGGAGGAATTGGACCTGTATCTCCACAAGCTGGTGGATTTGGGGCATAAGTACGGTGGTACGTCTTTTTACGACTACCACCGTGCCTTTTCCGCGAAGGCGTCGGCAGCCCTTTCACAGTTCAATTACCAAACGGATTGGGGCGTCCTGGATACTGAGCTTTTTTGCCGACACTTCGCGGGCCTAAAAACCCCAGCTTGTGCCATTTGCTCGTCCAATTCTCACACGGCTAATCTGTGCCCTAATTCTCCAGAGGTAAACGCTGTTTTTCCACCTCCTAATGTAGTGCCCACTGGGAGACCTGGCAAGGTGCTTAAGGATAAACTAGGCCGTGACATAGTGTTTTTGGGTAAATCGCAGGTCTGTAACAATTTCAACTCAGGTTCCCGCGGTTACAGTGCCTGCAGACTTCTCCATGTTTGCTCACTATGTTTCAGAGCTCACTCCAAGGCAATGTGCCCAAATAAACTATACCCTAAGCAGTACTTATCGTCTCTTCATGTCTCCCTACTGCAACAACTTTTGCGGGATCACCCTTCCCAACATCTCGTTGATTTTTTGGTGACAGGGTTTAAGATGGGGTTTCACACGGGTATTATTCACATGCCCACGGGGACCCTAGAATGTAATAATTTGCAGACAGCCTTGGCAGCACCCAACACTATCGACTTACTCCTACAGAAGGAAATTGACCAAGGTTTCTTATTAGGCCCTTTCAACCCCCCGCCTTTCGCAGTTTGGAGGACAAACCCCATAGGACTGGTCACCAATAAATCCTCCAATAAACAAAGATTAATTCTCGATCTGTCCGCCCCCCATGCATCTCATACCCCAAGTTTAAATTCACTAATCCCGTCCGAGGAGTTTTCCCTCCAGTATGCCACCATCGATCATGCAGTCACAGCCATACTCGCAGCAGGGGTAGGGGCATGGCTAAGTAAAACTGATATTGCCAACGCTTTTAAGCAGCTCCCTATCCACCCATCCCTATGGCATTTGCATGGTGTTAAGTGGCGAAGTTCATATTACTTCTTCACGCGTCTCACGTTTGGCTCAAAAAGCAGCCCTAGGATTTTCGATATCTTCGCGGAGACGTTGTGCTGGATGCTGCTTAACATCTGCAGATGTCCCACAGTTATCCATTACCTGGACGATTTCCTGACCATAGAAAGTAACCTAGTACCTCCCAGTAGCCTCCAGTCTATCACAAAACTGTTTACACAACTAGGGGTGCCTATTTCACCTACCAAGACTGAGGGTCCGGATACTATCATCCACTTTTTGGGGGTGGTACTGGACTCTGTACACATGCAAGCTAGCCTACCCAGAGAAAAGATTGAGCGCATCCTGGCAGCTATCGACCTTTACTTAGGAGGAGGCTCATGCAATAGGAAGGAGTTGCAATCCTTGTTGGGTTCTCTAAATTTCGCTATGAGAATCATTCCACAAGGTAGAGCATTCATTTCAAGGTTACTTAGCCTGTTTCCAATGTTGCAATCTGACACCTCCCGCATTACTTTAGACGTACAGGCCACCGCTGACCTACATATGTGGAGGGAGTTTTTGCAAAATTGGAACGGGAAAAGCATGTTTATACCGGTTTGGTCAGAGAAATCGGAGTCAGTCTGGACGGATGCCGCAGCCACCTCAGGTTTTGCAGCAATATGGGGAAATGAATGGATGTGGGGTGAATGGCCTAGGGAAATTACAGAAATTCCCCGGTTTAAGGACACATCAGCCTTGTTTGAGCTCTATCCTATCTTAGCGGCAGCAGTTAAGTGGGGAGCAAGTTGGTCCGGGAATACGGTTCGTTGCTTCTCGGACAATATGGCAACATGCCATATTGTAAACAAGGGGCGTTCCTCTTCCCTCACCATCATGCGTTTCATGAGGACTCTCACATGGCTCGCTGCAAAACACAGTTTTCTTCTCACTTGTGTTCATGTGCCTGGGGTTCTCAACATTGCAGCTGATCATTTGTCACGGTCTCGGTTTCAGGAGTTTCGGGAGGCCCTGCCAACAGCTGGCCCTCATACCAACTCCAGTTCCAAAGTGGCAGGAAATGATCTGGGACTAAAAGTTCTGCTATGTCAAGGGCGACAACTCTCACAGCTCGGTCTCTCCGATAATACCAGGAAGGCATATGAAAGGGCTTTCCATGTTTTCAATAAATTCTTGTTGGACTTTAATGTCACTGACCAGTTTTCTATGGAAACCATTATTGCTTTTATTTCTTTTTGCCACTTTCGTCTAACATTATCTTACAATACCATCAAATTATATATCACAGGCATTCAACATCACATCCTCACCACTTGGCCTAACAAACAACGCTTTCTGTCGTCCTACCAAGTTAAGGCTATACTTAAAGGCATCAAAGACTCCGCCCCTATAGCCTCACCAACTAGACTACCCATACACGATGTATTGTTTCAGTCACTGTCAAAACTACTAGACACCTCACCCTTTGAAGCTCATACTAATCATGTAATTAAAGCCGCCATCTATCTAGCATTTTACGGGTTTTTACGGCCCAGAGAATTCACTACTACTAGCTATAACTCACCCCTTTTCCTCACAAGGTCCGATCTCATAAAGGTCCAAGATCACTATCTTCTGTTACTGCACCATACCAAAACAAGCGCCCCCGGGCAAACGGTCACTATACCCTATTACCCCACAAGTAATACTTGGTGCCCGGTGAAGGTTTTCGACACACTTCTTGCCTTTGACAATATGGGCCCCACACAACCACTCCTGTCCTTGCACGGCAATAAGCTCACTACGAGCCAATTCATGATGTATATTAGGATATTGTTAGCCCGGTTAGGACTGAACCCAGCCAGCTACTCTGGTCACTCTTTTAGAATAGGAGCCGCCACCACCGCTTCTAAAAAGAATATCCCTGCTCACATTATTCAGATACTAGGACGATGGAAATCTACGGCATACACTAGATACATACCTCAGCCCATACAAGAAGTACGTCTGGCTTTCAAAACTATGAATTTGTAATCTGTTATGTCCGGTTGTAGGACGAATAAATGGTTATCTCTTTTTGCCCTCTTTTATTTCAGGCCTACTTCCTCGTCAGTTCCGGCACACCACAACTGACATTTCCTTTCATGGTTTGTCCTATGTATATAAGTTATACTACGGCTTATGCCCTGACCACAAATGGAAGGCGTGGCCTGAAGTTGTGGGAAGGGCTGGGTTACCCTTCTTAAGGGACTCCAGACCCTTCCCTCACTACCTGTTAGGTGCGACGGATTCTCCCACCCACCACACCGCTTTCATAAGCATTTTATAAGGTAGGCCCTCTTTTATTTCAGGCCTACTTCCTCGTCAGTTCCGGCACACCACAACTGACATTTCCTTTCATGGTTTGTCCTATGTATATAAGTTATACTACGGCTTATGCCCTGACCACAAATATATATATATATATATATATATATATATATAGATTTATAGTCAAAGAATAGCACAGTGCTTTTCAATCATAGAATGGAGATAACTAACTAACAAGTATCCTTTTCATGCATGACGGCACCCTAAAAGCCTTTGAAAAGGCAGATCGACATTGCACACTGTTGCCTAGTTTGTTCTTTACAATTGATGCCAACTCTTTTTCATTTAATGTTATCTGTAGCTCACATTTAATGTGTAAGTTGCTTGTGGGTTCCTTATTTCAAAATGCATGACTGCCACTTGCCTGCCCAGACACATGACTTTCAATTCCCATTTCAAGATCATTTATAAACAGATTAAGGACACGTGGATCTAGGATTGAAGACTCCGGACAAATGTACTCCCCTTTTGTCCAATCGGACATTTTCCATTTCCTACAACTGTCTGCACTGCTCTATATTATTATTAATTTATAAAGCACCAATAAATTCTGCAGCGCTGTTCAGTGCGTGGACTAAAAGACACATATTCGTAACCAGACAAGTGGGACACACAGGAACAGAGGTATTGAGGGCCCTGCTCAATGAGCTTACATGCTAGAGGGAGTGGGGTATAGTGACACAAAAGGTAAGGGTAGTGTAAAAAAAAGTAGGTTGCTAGGATAGTATTCTCTGAGGGTTTAGTGTTTTGTTTTAATGACAGTTGCAGGTGAGGAATTAGGGTGCGGGGAGGGAAAGCTGTTGACATTTAATCCAATGTTCTATCCAAGTTAATTTTTCATGTGAAACAAATGCATTTATTTTGTATTGTATTGTATTTTTCCTTCTTGATACCTGATCTACACTGATTAAACATTAAAACCCCTTGCCTAATATTGTGTAGGTCCACCTCATGCTATCAAAACAGCTCTGATGCCTTGAGGCATGGACTCCACAAGACGTCTAAATGTGTCATGTGGTACCTGGCACCAAGACATTAGTAGCAGATCATTTAAGTCCTGCAATTTGGATCAGATTTAAAGTTCCAGCACATCCAACAAATGCGCACTCTTTTGAGATCTGGAGAATTTGGAGGCCAATGCAACATCTTTAAATCATGTCGTGTTTTCAAACCATTACTGAACAATTGTTGCAATGTGGCAAGTGCATTTTCTTGCTGAAAGAGGCCACTGCCATTAGGTAACACTATTACCATTAATGGGTGTATGAGGTCTGCAACAATTTCTAGGTAGCTGGTATGTGTCAAAGTAACATCTACATGAATGGCAGGACTTAAGGTTTCAAAGCAGAACACTGCCCAGAGCATAATATAAGAGCCATAAAGCCTGCCTTCTTCTCATAGTGCATCACACACACCCCCACCCACGTCATCTAAAAGAAAACATGATTCAGACCAGGCAACCTTCTTCCATTGTTCTATGATTAAGTTCTGATGCTCACATCCCTATTGAAGACACTTTCTTTGGAGGCCATTGGTCACTATGGGCACTGTAACTGGTCTACAGCTACACCGCTCCATACACAGCAAACTGTGATGCACTGTGTGTTCTGACATCTTTCTATCATGGCCAGCATTAAGTTTGTCAACAATTTGAGCTACAGAAGCTCTTCTGTTTGATCAACTCATGCAGGCTACCCTTCGCTCCCCACATACATTAATGGGCATTGAGTGCCTATGACCCTGATGCAAGGTCACCAGTTGTCCTTCCTTGCACTACTGTCGGTAGGTACTAACCACTGCATACTGGGAACACCCCACAAGACTTGCTGTTTAGGAGATGCTCTGACTCAGTCATCTAGCCATCACTGTTTGGCCCTTGTCAAACTCATTAAGATGTTTTGGCTTGTCCATTTTTCCTGCAACCAACACATTAAATTTAAGAACTGACTATTCACTTGCTACCTAATATATTTCCCCTCCGTGACAGGTGCCTTGGTGATGAGCAATGGCACAAATGCACCTGCCAAGGCTGTTATTCACTTCACCTGTCAGTGGTTTTAATGCTGTGGCTGATTAGTGTATATTTTTTACTCAATAAATTCTTGACTAGAAAGTTGTGTACTTGCATTAATGCATCTCTTGGTGGTGAAAGTGGTAAATTCATGGGTTTTGCAAACTGTGCACTATAAGGAGCAGAAGCAGATCTTGACGGAGGTCGTGGCTGAAACCTTAGAGAGCCCAGCAATACAGGACCAGAGAGCATTTGTCCTGACTTGGGCACACCTCACTTATTAGTTGTTGCACAAAAACATCTAAATCCATTAATTTGGTTTTATGGTCCAATTATAGTTGTTGCAGACAGTCCTCTAGACTGTTGTGGTCCTCCACATACTTCACATACTTAGTCTCTAGTTTCCTGTTAAGATCCAAGTTGCGATGCAAAGCTTGATGTCACGTGCCCATCTCATCCAGCAGTCAAGTACAGATTTCATCAAAACCCAGCAAGACAGGAATTGTATTTCAATGTATTCTTATTGTTGTAAAGGTTTATAAAAAATATGTATGGTAATGTGCAGGCGAATTCCTTTCAACAAAACATTTTCCCCTGTGAACTAAATGCAACACACTCTGATGAAAAACATTCAATTTAATTATGCTGATGCTTAAAAAATTTGTCTCAAACTATATTTCCCAATCAAGTGATACAGTGAAATGCCATCTGCATTTCCTTTTCCAATACAAAAATACAAAACTGCTGACTTTTTTTTCCGGTGTCAGTAATCTTTCAGGCAAACCTTTTTTTAAACGTATTGTTCTCTTAACTGTTCATGGTTTTCTTTGCAACGTTTTCAACAATAACTAAAGTAAGGTGAAAAAACATGATTCAATCAATTTGATTCCTCTGAAAATGACGACGTAACGTAACGTGGTGTATGCACTTAGAGACAATAGTCAGTGGACATTGTTCATTTGTGAATACATTACATTGTCCAATGTGATACGTTTTCTCTCAAGTCCACTTATTAATTTTAATTACATCTACTGCTCAGTGGCAGATCCGGGGGTTGGGGGGCCAAATAGGGCAATTGTCCTCTCACCCTCTCTCCGCCCCCCCGAGAAAATAGTACAACAATCCCTCTCCCTTGTCCCCCCCCCCCCTCTGCATGCCAGGAGCATTGGCATAGGTTAGTTAACATTACCACTTTTTTTCTTTTTTTTTTACATGAATGAAAAGAAATAACAATTTCCATAACGTCACACAAGTGATCTACAAACATGCAGATTAGTTTGAGGAAACTTGCTGTCGGTCGGTCTGCTGCTATTATGAAAAGATTGCAGGCTTTGCTAAACCTACTGAGTAAGGTCTAACTTGCACCTTTAAGGTAAAGTCACTGTGTGAGTTAGATGCACAACATGCCAGATAACTTCATGCCAGATAACTTCAATTTTTAGGAATATGTGTAGTGCCTTATACTTAGAATTTAAATGAAAAGATTATTTCACTAACATAGTCGCTGTAATGTGTCAGTCTGCGTAGACACCTCTGCGTGTTTAAAAGAGGTGGAGTACCCAATGGCAAGATTGTGTGCTATAGGTGCAGCATCGCTAGACTTCTGGCTGCTGAGGGCTGTAATGGTATAACCTCTGAGGCTTACAACTGTATGGCATTATTTGGCCAGGAGGACAATGTAACCTTGTGAAATAGAATTTAACTAAGTAGCGCGGTTGTAAGAGGTCAATAAAATAAATGAAGGGGAAAAAAGCACCATTCAAAAGTGTATGGCTCTATATCTTTTTAGGCGATAGCCCGATATGATAACTTGGCTGTCTCCCTTACACGGCAGTGCCGTAGCTCTTATAGGGAAGCCATCGGGACTTTGCTAGGGACAATTTGTTTGGCCATCATTGATATGGCTGGTGTCATGTTTAAGCTGCTTGGTCTGTACTTGTCGAGCATCTTATGTGTGAGAGTATCCCACGGGTAACCAAGGGGTCACGGTGTTGGGGGGAGCATGCACATGGGATCAGGCAGATGTGTTGAGCCTGACTTTAAGTAAACACAGTCCTAACCTCACAGGGCCACAATTAAGTGGATCAATGGTTTCAATTTACAAAATTAAAATAAGAATGAAGAACAAGGAAGTTTGAGGGATTGAAAGGACAAGTACAAGAAAGACAAGAGAAAATTATACTGGTTGCAATTTTAAGTCACTGAGTCGCGTTCCCATGAAGGAACAAACAGTGTGATGTTCTGGACATCTCAAGAGTGTACTTGTTGTGGTCTCAAGACCTCACGTGGTGGTTCTACTAGGCCGAGGGTTGCCAGTAACTTGGGGGCCTCTTCAGGTGCCTGAACTCTGTAGGTCTTCTCCGTTGAATAGACTGTTAGGGCTGTAGGAGTGGACCAACGATAGGAGATTTCCGCCTTTTGCTGACGTCAGGTGATAGGCCGCATATATTGTCGCCGTTGCAGAATGGTGCGGGTAAGATCCTGATAGGTCAGGTGGTGCGATTCAAAGTCCAGGGGTGTTTTGTCCCTAATGACTTGTAGGACTTTTTGCTTGTCTGCAAAGGATTGAAATCGAAAATAATGTCTCTAAAAGAGTCAAAAGCACTCTTGGCAATTTTGCAATCTGGTATACTCCATCCAGGACAATATACTTTGCTTGTTTAGCAGGTAGTAGTGAAGTTAGTAACCTTCTCATCAGGTGTGGTAATTCCTCGGAGGCCATTGTATCCGGCACTCCTCTGATTTTCAGATTCTTCATTTGGCCCCTGTCATTGAGGGAATCTACCCTCAGGTTGGTAGTGTTGTGTGAGGTCTGTAGAGTACATACTCTTTCCTCCAGGGCCGAAAGGCCGCGTTTGAGGTTGGACATGTCCTCTTCTGTGGCTTGGACACGCTCTGTGACCACTTGTATTTCCTTCTTCACTAGGGCTATATCTGCGTCAAATAGTTTGCGGATGCGGTCGTATAGGTCGGTGATATCTTGTTTGGTGGAGGGAGCTGAGGTAGGTGTTTCCATGGGGAAGCTGGTGGTTGATGGGGTAGGTTTGGGCAGCCCATTGCGGGGTTGACTGACCTCGTTGTCTGACGGGTCCGTGGAGGCCTCCCTTCCGACCGGCTCAGGTGCTTTCAATTGCGGGGTTGCCTGTGAGCAACTTGCCGATGTCTCTCGTTCCGTGGGACCCGGTGTCCGGGGTCTTCGGCTTTGTGTGTCCCATCTTCAATGGGGAGAGTGCCGTTTTAAGAGGAGGTGAGTATAAGGCCCAGTTGGAAAAGGCCTCATGCGTGCACCGCTGCAAGTCATTGGTCACACAGTCTAAAGGTCAGCCAGGTCTTGCGGGTCGATTGGGCATGCGAGCCATAAATGAAGGTCATAGATATGTTCCCTGAGTGCTCCCCTGAGCTGTGCCACCACAGCAGTGGGTCGATGAGGTGGAGGGTATGTGATATTTGTTGGATTAGAGTTTTTGGGCCTA